GTGGATCACGAGGTCAAGAGATCGAGACCATCCTGGTCAACATGGTGAAACCCCGTCTCTACCAAAAAAAAAAAAATACAAAAAATTAGCTGGGCATGGTGGCACGTGCCTGTAATCCCAGCTACTCAGGAGGCTGAGGCAGGAGAATTGCCTGAACCCAGGAGGCGGAGGTTGCGGTGAGCCGAGATCGCGCCATTGCACTCCAGCCTGGGTAACAAGAGCGAAACTCCGTCTCAAAAAAAAAAAAAAAAAAACACACACACACATTTACGCCGGGTGCGGTGGCTCAAGCTTGTAATCCTAGCACTTTGGGAGGCCAAGGCAGGTGGATCACGAGGTCAAGAGATCGAGACCATCCTGGTCAACATGGGGAAACCCCGTCTCTACTAAAAATACAAAAAATTAGCTGGGCTTGGTGGCGCGTGCCTGTAATCCCAGCTACTCAGGAGGCTGAGGCAGGAGAATTGCCTGAACCCAGGAGGCGGAGGTTGCGGTGTGCCGAGATCGCGCCATTGCACTCCAGCCTGGGTAACAAGAGCGAAACTCCGTCTCAAAAAAAAAAAAATTTTTGCGACTTTGGAAATCTGCATAGTGTCAGTGCAGATACTACTTAGCCCGGGACTTGGTGGCTGGGCTCATTTTCTTCTTTCCAATCGGAGTTCTCTGCCGCAAACATGCTCCGCCACATCTTAGGTCAGGCCAAGAAGCATCCGAGCTTGATCCCCCTCTTTGTATTTATTGGAGCTGGAGGTGGTGGAGCAGCCCTGTATCTCTTGCATTTGGCATTGTTCAATCCAGATGTTTGTTGGGACAAAAAGAATAACCCAGAGCCCTGGAACAAACTGGGTCCCAATGATCAATACAAGTTCTACTCTGTGAAAGTGGATTACAGCAAACTGAAGAAAGAACCTCCAGATTTCTAAATGAAATGTAAAGCTGCTTTAAAATGAAGGTCTTCCAGAAGCCATCCGCACAATTTTCCACTGAACCAGGAAATATTTCTTCTCTAAATGCATGAAATCATGTTAACGTAATCTATTGGTGATTACACTGATTAATAAATAACTGAAACTTGAAAAAAAAAGAAATATATTTTTGCTTATGTGGGTACGGAATTCATCTGGAGAAGTACACACCAGAAGCAGATTAGTTTGGTTGACTGTAGGGAAGAGGACTGTGTAGTTGAGGTAAAGAGGTAGTAGGAAGGCTGAAAAGAGTATACTTTAAAAATTTGGAACATATTTTTTTTTTTCAGAGGGAGTCTCACTCTGTCGCCAGGCTAGAATCCCGGGGCACAATGTTGGTTCACTGCAACGTCTGCCTCCCGAGTTCAGCGTTACTCCTGCCTCAGCCTCCCGAGTAGCTGGGATTACAGGTATGCACCGCCAAGCCCAGCTAATTATGCATTCCTCAGCCTCCCAAGGTACTGGGATTACAGGAGTGAGCCATTGCACCCAGCCCTGGAACTTATTTTAAAAGTAAATTAGAGGCCAAGCACAGTGGCTCCTGCTGTAATCCCAGCATTTGGCTCATAATTTACTTTATTGGAGCCCCAGGTGGGAGGATCACTTGACGCCAGGTGTTCAAGACCAGCCTGGGCAACACAGCAAGACCCTGTCTCTACAAAAAAAAAAAAAAAAAAAAAAAAAAAAAATTAACTGGCCATGGTGGCATGCTACACCTGCAGTCCCAGCTATTCCAGAGGCGAGGCAAGAGGACCACTTGAGCCCAGGAGTTCAAGGCTGCAGTGAATATGATCATGCTGCCACACTCCAGCCTGGGCAACAGAGAAAGACCCTGTCTCAAAACAGATGTTCTTACGTAAATTATAATAAAACTTTTAAAATTCAAAGGACTCCAAAATTTAGAACTAATAAGAGAGTTTAGTAAAGTTACAGGATACATCAGTAGTGTTTTTTTTTGTTTTTTTTTTTTTGAGTCAGAGTTTTGCTCTTGTTACCCAGGCTGGAGTGCAATGGCGCGATCTCGGCTCACCGCAACCTCCGCCTCCTAGGTTCGGGCAATTCTCCTGCCTCAGCCTCCCGAGTAGCTGGGATTACAGGCACGCGCCACCATGCCCAGCTAATTTTTTGTATTTTTAGTAGAGATGGAGTTTCACCATGTTGAGCAGGATGGTCTCGATCTCTTGACCTCATGATCCACCTGCCTCGGCCTCCCAAAGTGCTGGGATTACAGGCGTGAGCCACCGCGCCCGGCCCCCAGTAGTGTTCTATACATTAGCAGTTGTCAGTTTGAAAACACAAGAGGAAAAAAAGGGAGAGATTTGTTAAAGGACACAAAACTACAGCTAGATCAGAGGAATAAATTCTAGTGTTCTATACCACTGCAGGATGACTACAGTTAACATTAATACCTGGTATATAGTTTTAAACAGCTAGACAGAGGATGTTAAATGTTCCCAACACAAAGAAACAATAAATATTTAAGATGATGGATATGCTAATTATGCTGAACTGACTGCTATACATTGTATAGCAATACATTGTATTGAAACATTACTATGTACTCTATGAACATGTAAAATTATCATTTTTCAATTAAAAAATAAAATCAGGCAGGCATAGTGGCTCACGCCTATAATCCCAGCATTTTGGGAGGCTGAGACAGGAGGATCACTTGAGCCCAGGAGTTCAAGACCAGCTTAGGCAACACAGACCCCATCTCTATAAAAAATAAATAAAATTAAAATAGAAAAATCCCATTTACAATAGCAACAATAACAAAATTAAGTGGTACTATGCCATAAAGAAAATTGTAAAAATATTGAAAAATACAAAGAAAAGAGAGACATAAATAGAGAGCTATACTATATTTATGGATGTTAAGATTTATAGTCACATCAATACATGAATACATAAAGATAATATGGTATATACACAGAATGGAATACTATTCAACCTTTAAAAAGAAGGAAAGCCTGGCATTTGTGACAATGTGGATGAACCTGGAGGGCATTCTGCCAAGTGAAATAAGCCAGACACAGAAAGACAAATTCCGTACAAGCTCACTAATATGTGGAATCAAAAGCAATCGAACTCATAGAAGCAGAGAGGAGAATGCTAGTTTCTAGGGGCTAGGGGTTGGAGAAGGTGGAAGGAAAAGCCAGGAGATGATGGTCAAAGGGTACAAAATTTCACTTTGACAGGTAGAATAATTTCAGAAGATCTATGGTATAGCATGGTGACTACAGTAAATAACAATTTATTGTGGCCGGGCGCGGTGGCTGAAGCCTGTAATCCCAGCACTTTGGGAGGCCGAGGTGGGTGGATCACAAGGTCGAGAGATCGAGACCAACCTGGTCAACATGGTGACACTCCGTCTCTACTAAAAAAAATACAAAAAATTAGCTGGGCATGGTGGCGTGTGCCTATAATCCCAGCTACTCAGGAGGCTGAGGCAGGAGAATTGCCTGAACCCAGGAGGCGGAGGTTGCGGTGAGCCGAGATCGCGCCATTGCACTCCAGCCTGGGTAACAAGAGCGAAACTCCATCTCAAAAAAAAAAAACAAAAAAAAACCTATTGTATAATTGAAAATTGCTAAGAGAGTAGATTTTAACTGCTCTCACCACAAATAAATAAGCATGTGAGGTAATGCATATATTTATTAGCTTGATTTAGCCATTCCACAATGTGTACATATTTCAAAACATATTGTATACCATTCATATATATTAATACAATTTTGTTTTGAGACAGAGTCTCACTCTGTTGCCAGGCTGGAGGGCAGTGGCACGATCTCAGCTCACTGCAACCTCCACCTCTCAGGTTCAAAAGATTCTCCTGCCTCAGCCTCCTGAGTAGCTGGGACTACAGGCGGGTACCACCAGGCCCAGCTAATATTTTTTGTATTTTTAGTAGGGACAGGTTTCAGCATGTTGGCCAGGATGGTCTCGATCTCCTGAGCTCATGATCTACCTGCCTCCGACTCCCGAAGTGCTGGGATTACAGGCATGAGCCACCACGCCCAGCTTATTAATACAATTTTTTTCTGCCAATTAAACATTTTTTTTTTTTTTTTGGCCAAGTGCGGTGGCTCACACCTGTAATCCCAGCACTTTGGGTGGCCAGCATGGGAGGACAGCTTGAAGTCAGGAGTTCAAGACCAGCCCGCACAACATAACAAGACCTCTTATTTACAAAAAATAAAAAAGATTAGCCAGGCATAGTGGCATGTGCCTGTGGTCCCAGCTACTTGGGAGGCTGAGGCAGGAGGATCAGTTGAGCCCAGGAGTTCAACGCTACAGTGAGCTGTGATTACACCACCACACTCGAGCCTGGGCAACAGAGTGAGACTCTGTCTCAAATAATAATAATAATTTTTAAAAGATTCATAATCCCAAATATGCCAATTCCCATAATTTATTCAACAAATGTAATGTCATTCCCACCAAAATCCCAACAAAGTTGCTCATACTTTGTAAAAGAATGCAATGACGTACATACAACAGGGTGTCCAATCTTTTGGCTTCCCTGGACCACACTGGAAAAACAAGAATTGTCTTGGGTCACACATAAAATATACTAACACTAATCACAGCTGATGAGCTAAAAAGAAAAAAAGAAATTCAAAAATCTCATAATGTTTTAAGAAAGTTTCTAAACTTGTGTTGGGCTGCATTCAAAGCCGTCCTGGGCTGAGGCTTGAACAAGCTTGATGTACAGTGTACGATGAGTAATGGGAAACAATAGTTAAGAGAATTTTGAAGAAAAAGCTGTAAAGACTAGAACAGGGTGTGAGGACTCACCCTACCAGATATCAGGAGGTACGATAAAGCCATGGAAATTAAGACAGAATATCACTGAAGCAAATGTAGAAAATGATGCTACTGGAGAAGAATGGAGCACCCAGGACCAAACCCATGCATTGTCAAACTTGATCTTTGTAGCTAGGTCTCAGGTGACTATTTCCAATGTCTCAGCAGCAGCATTTTCACCTGGTACCAGTGCTTGACTTAGGTATTGGCAAATGATCTACTTACGTATCATCATCGTCAGATCTTGGTTCTAGCTGTTCCTCATCTATTTCAATGCCAGAGACCATTTCTACCTTTCCTTCATCTTCTTTAGGTAGCCATTGTTTTAATGTTCCCATTGCTAAAGAAATGACAGAGAAAGATAATAAAGCATCCCAGCCTATGTACCCAATGAGGGGAATATACCAAAAATCATATGGTGAACATCAATATAATGGTAAACCTCTTAGCCATTTCCATCAAAACAGAAAATAAGAAAAGGGATGATAACACAACCAGACAAGAAAAAGTGACAGGAACAAGGATCACAGAGGAAGAGACAAAACCCTTCCACTTTTGGGACGGATGCTTTGATTATATAGAAAAATTAAGAAGATCTTGGTGTAAAAACAAGATTAACCACAGCTGGACCACTCTTATTCTCCACTGTTTCTATGCCCTGAGTATCCCACCATGGTTAGGCTTCATCGTGAATGCCTGCAGGGAAAACTCAAGGCACATACACACACCTTCATCTTTTTTTTTTTTTTGAAGTTATTTTTGTTACTTAAAATGTGCTTTTTCTCTTAGGAAAAGAATTAGACTGAAGATAGCACAATGTATTTTTTATTATTTATTTATTTTCGAGACAGAGTCTCACTCTGTTTCCCAGGCTGGAGTGCAGTGGTATGATCTCAGCTCACTGCAACCTCCCCCTCCCAGGTTCAAGTGATTATACTGCCTAAGCCTCCTGAGTAGCTGAGATTACAGGCATGCACCACCACGCCCGGCTAATTTTTGTATTTTTAGTAAAGACGAGGTTTCACCATGTTGGTCAAGATGAACAATTTTCATTTCTTTATAGCAATGCAGCATCCCCTCAACTACTCTAAGATTCTACAATGATAAGATAAGCATTTATTTCATGTATCAATCACAAAAAAATGTTCCCAGTGAAATGGCATGCTTCCTTACCCTTTATAATTTACATTCCCTAAATATAAATTATTATAAGAATGTTTATAGACTTTATCTCAAGATACTTTTTGTTTTGTTTTGTTTTGTTTTGAGATGGAGTCTTGCTCTTTTGCCCAGGCCAGAGTGCAGTGGCACAATCTCTCACTGTAACCTCCACCTCCCAGGTTCAACTGATTCTCCTGCCTCAGCCTCCTGAGTAGCTGGGACTACAGGTGCATGCCACCACACCCAGCTTATTTTTTGTATTTTTAGTAGAGATGGGGTTTCACTATATTGGCCAGGCTTGTCTCAAATTCCTGACCTTGTGATCCACCCATCACAGCCTCCCAAAGTGCTGGGATTACAGGTGTGAGCCACTGTGCCTGGCCCCACAAAATTTTTTTTTTAAATTAAAAAGTCCCATCAGGTGCCCCTGAATTCAGCCGTTCTACTCTGGTTGAAAGTCTAGACTTTATTTAGGATATTTTCAAATTCTCTCTTAGTGAGAGCTTCGGTCTCTGTCTTTGGACAGGAGATTCAGTAAAGAGCTCTGCAGAAAATTCACTTTTTTCTTCCTCTGTTTAACAGCAGACGGTTGGGGTCAAGGTTTTTTCATTTCTGCCTCAACAGAGAAAGTTTGAATCAAGGAATTGACAGTGTGGCACTGTTACTCTTATTTATGTAGTGTGCTTTTAAGATGGCAACTGTTTTCTACTGTTTGAGATTATGGGTTGGTTTTTCATTTGTGACCAATTCCGGTTAGTAAAATACCAGCTGGACTTATGTATAACATTTATGAGGTGTCCTCTTATAACTCTCTAGGAATCAGAGCCCACCTAACCCAGGATGGTCAAAAGCAGCAGAAGCCAAAATGAGATCCTTTCAAATGTCTAAAATAATTCATTTTGTGTGCACAATTGAGAGAAAAAGAAAAAAAAAAAGCTAATTTCGAACCAGACAAACTAAATGGGAGACCTACTTTATTTCTGTCCTGGTTGAAATCTGGTAAGAGATTTGGAAAGTGGTTTTTGTTTCTTTGGTTTGTTGTTGTTGTCATCGCTGTTTAGAACTCTATGATCAGAAGTCGGGTTAATTAAAGGTTTAATATTTAGGCCATATAATTTTTTTTCTTCTTTTGGATGCTGTTTCCAGAAATTTTTTTTCAGTTGCTTCCTATCTTTTTGACATGACTTTTGCTGAGAAAAATGTAAAACTTCTCATTGGCCTTTTAGGTATCTTAAAAACCTTCCCAAATTGGCTCCTCTACAACTTATTCTTCTATTTCCTTCCACTTCTGCTCCTCCTTCCTTTTGCAATTTTTAATAACGTGTGAAAATATCTGCAGGAGACTTCCAATGACTCTAAGACCCTTTGAGGAATGCAGAGAAGGTGCCACTCATCCCTCCTTAGGTTGTCGTGTTTTCCTAGTGGGGTACAGAGAGTCATGGGCAGGTTCCTCTCAGATCTAAAACTCTACTGTCTTTTGCAGTAAGCTACTTGATCACTTTGACTTTGGGGTACCAGGGATTACATGGTACTGTGAGAGAAAATTGATTTTTGTGTGTGCAATGGCTGACAAGTCACCGATAAAAGCTGTAGTTTTGGAAGGGGCTGACAGCCGTTGCAGCTATGAAAGGAAAATAAATCTCCGGACCGAGGTATCACTAAGGCAAGGGAAAATTCAAGTTGAAAACTACATCAGACAAACCTGCCTCCCATTTTATTCCTAAATAAGGTAGCTACAGATTTTTTTTTTTTTTTGAGACGGAGTTTCGCTCTTGTTACCCAGACTGGAGTGCAATGGCGCAATCTCGGCTCACTGCAACCTCCGCCTCCTGGGTTCAGGCAATTCTCCTGCCTCAGCCTCCTGAGTAGCTGGGATTACAGGCACGCACCACCATGCCCAGCTAATTTTTTGTATTTTTAGTAGAGACGGGGTTTCACCATGTTGACCAGGATGGTCTCGATCTCTTGACCTCGTGATCCACCCGCCTCGGCCTCCCAAAGTGCTGGAATTACAGGCTTGAGCCACCGCGCCCGGCGATAGCTACAAATATTAAAAAGCTGTATACCTCCCTCACAATTTGCCCACAAGGAAGTTCCTTGCAGGCCTCAAGATCTTTACCCTAAACAGTTCTGTTGAACTTCACTCTGGCAATGTAAACTGATAGCTGATTTTCACAGGTGCAGGACAGAAAGTCATCGCTCTGCTCACCTGACACAAATGCACATCTGATTGCTTCCTCTGCCCTATTGTTTATGTAAAAAATGCAGCTTCACTGAGCCAGACTAAATTGTGTATTCAGTGAAAGGATGATCAAGGACTCAAAAGAATGCAACCTTTTGTCTCTTGACTACCAATGACCTGGAAGCCCCCCCACCGCCCACCCATCCCTGCTTCGAGTTGTCCCTCCTTTCTGGACCGAACCAATGTACAATTTATACATAGTGATTGATGTCTCATGTCTCCCTCAAATGTATAAAAGCAAACTGTACCCTGACCTCCTTGGGCACATGTCAGCAGGAACTCCTGAGGCTGTGTCACAGACGCATCTGTAACCTTGGCAAAATAAACTTTCTAAATTGATTGCGACCTGTTATCTGTACATTTTCAGTGCTGCAAAAGAAGTGGCACTCAAATATAAATTTCCTCAGCAAGACAATTTACTTCTATAGAAGGGTGCCGCTCACAGATGGAACAATGGTGAGCACACACTTGAACAAGGGAGGGGAAGGTTCGTATTCCTGACGGAGGTCACCCCTACTGCTGTGTTGTTCCCTACTGGCTAGGGTTAGACCGCATAGTCAAGTCTAATTCCGACTGGCTATTTTAAAGAGAGCACAGATACGAACCAGAGTGGCAGGGTGGGTAGTTTGGTGGAAAGGACAGTCACAGGACAGGTCAGAGCAGGTAACCAGGGGTCAAAAGCAGGTGACCGGAGCAGGTGACCAGAGCAGGTGACTTGAGCAGGTGGCCAGAGCAGGGGCCCAGGGAAACAGTTGTGAACTACTGATTAGAACTGGTGGAAAAGGTTGTTTACTGAAACTGTAAGGCAGTTAAACTTTAAAATGGAGAATTAAAGAATAAGAGAGCTGAACATACTGACATACTGATTCTTTGAAGGGAAACTTGGAGTTCACTATATCTAACACCTGTCTCAGATATTTTGGGTACACATAGTGAATTGTTGTTACTGGATGGGGCTACTTACTTCTTTGTGGGTTTAGATTAAAAGACAGGTTTGAACACTTGGAAGTTATTGAACACTCACCATCAAGGTATAAGGCTCCTGTTGGGGACGGGTTGCTCACAGTAGCTTGACTGGCATTAGGTTACCCACCAGCCTCGGGGGAATGTGTGTGTAGCAAGAAGCACAGTCCCATGCTGTTTCCCTTCTTTGGGGGGGTGGGACCCAGGATTCAACAGAGAAGTTAGAGCCTTGATTTTGAAAGATTTAGATACACTGCCTTCCAGTTTTGTCTGCTTTTCACATATTAAATATTAGACTCTGTTTTAAAACTCTTCATAAAAAAATTTACATCTATAAAGGAAATCTCCATTTGTAAGGCCTCCCCCTACACCCAAACCACCAGAAATTTTTAAGATGGGAAAGACATTAATTTAAAGTTCACATAACAAATCTTACCTTTGTTTCAGACACCTTTCCTGGCAATCTTCTCTTGACTAAACCTTGACTCTGCCCTTTTCTTCAGCAAATAATGGTGTTTAGATCTAAATTCTGTGCCTTTAAGAGTCATCCTTTCAGAAGTACAAATTTAGGGTTGGCTTGCTAACTATAGTTTAGGGCAATGGAACAGGTAATCAAGAGACTAATAGTCTAAAGTTGGAGGCTTATAATCCAAGCACTGTGGGAGGCTGAGGCAGGTGGATTGCTTGAGATCAGGAGTTGGAGACGAGCCTGGCCAACATGGTGAAACCCTGTCTCTACTAAAAATACAATAAATAGCTGAACGTAGTGGCACACTTCTGTAATCCCAGCTGCTCCAGAGGCTGAGGCAGGAGAATCACTTGAACCCAGGAGGTAGAGTTTGCAGTGAGCCGAGACTCCAATCTTGGTGACAAAGTGAGATTCAGTCTCAAAAAAAAAAAAAGTTGGAGGAAAAATTATTTGAAAACTGGCAAATGCAAGCCTTATGAAGCTATAAAACCTGTTTCTGTGTGTCTGTATATGTATCACGTGTGTGTGATTTTGTAACTGAGTGCTCTATTTTAACTTTTTTCCTCTTGTCGCCCTCTGTATTGACTTTTTAGTAATGACATAATACTCTTGACTCTCTTTCTTTCCACCAGGCACTCTCTTGCATTGCTGGCTTATCTCATCATGTTTGCTTAGAAGTTCCAGAGACTGGATCTTGAGATAATCCAGGTGCCTATCAAATTCTCCCCCACCAGATTACTTCAAGGCTGCAGCTAATTTACAACCCAAACAAGCAGGAGATGGCACCAGCCCAATCACCAGATGGGGCAAGAACTCAAAATAAGTCATCCTGGTGGGGCGCAGTGGCTCATGCCTGTAATCCTAGCACTTCGCGAGGCAGGCGGATCACAAGGTCAGGAGTTCGAGACAAGCCTGGCCAATATGGTGAAACCCCGTCTTTACTAAAAATACAAAAATTAGCTGAGTGTGTTGGTGCACACCTATAGTCCCAACTACTCAAGAGGCTGAGACAGAAGAATTGTTTGAACCCAGGGGGTGGAAGCTGCAGTGAGCCATGATTGTGCCACCGCACTCCAGCCTGGGCAACAGAGCAAGACTCCATCTCAAAAAATAAACAAACAAGATAAGTCATTGGAACAAATCACATAGACTTGCACCACCTCATCCCACATGCCCTCCATACCAAACTCCCCCTTCTTAAGCCCTAGCATTTTGCCTGAGAATTCTGAAGTGGTTTTATTAAGGCAGGAGCCTGAACCATCTCCCCACTGCTAGCACTGGAAAATAAAGTCGCTTTCCTTCTACCGCGCCTTGTCCTTGTTATTCAAGTTTGCAAGCGGAGACTGGCCGAACCTGTGTTTGGTTGACATTTCACTTGATAGTGAAATATTTGAAAGAGGTATAGTTAATTGGCTTAAAGCAAAAGTAAGTATTTAAATGAAATATTTTATCAATGAAAGTAGAAATGAACTCAAATGCCTTTTAATTCATGTAACTTGGGTAAATTTTTGATAAATAAGACTAGTTTTTTGGTTAATGAAAGCAGCTAGGTCATCTGATCAGCAAAACATCCATGTATTAACTTTAGGGCTTTTGCTTAGGTGGCGACTGCCTAACATTCACAAACTGTAGAAATGATTGATAAAGAAGATGATGGTTAGATTTGGCAATGTTTCCTGAAATTTTCCAAACATAGTTGTTAAGAATGAATAAATAAATGTAATGAAATAAGAGGTTTGTTCACAGTTGGAGTGTCATTCTGTCACACTGACTGGAGTGCAGTGGCATGATCATGGCTCACAGCAGCCTCGAACTCCTGCGCTCAAGTGATCCTCCTGCCTCAGCCTCCCAAAGGGCTGGGATTACAGCCATGAGCCTGGCCAGATAAAAGTTTTTTTGTTTTTTTTTTGAGACGGAGTTTCGCTCTTGTTACCCAGGCTGGAGTGCAATGGAGCAATCTCGGCTCACCGCAACCGCCGCCTCCTGGGTTCAGGCAATTCTCCTGCCTCAGCCTCCTGAGTAGCTGGGATTATAGGCATGCGCCACCAAGCCCAGCTAATTTTTTGTACTTTTAGTAGAGACGAGGTTTCACCATGTTGACCAGGTTGGTCTCAATCTCTCGACCTTGTGATCCACCTGCCTTGGCCTCCCAAAGTGCTGGGATTACAGGCTTGAGCCACCGCGCCCGGCCAAAAGTTTTAATAATAATCAGGTTTTATAATATGTTTACCTTAAAAAGGTTTTTCAAATCCTTTTGGTAACTTTTTCTCTTCGAGTTTTGCTAAGCTAAATTAAATGATAGGTATCCATTAACTATCTAGATCATCTCCCAATAACAATGCTAAGACATTAATAACTAATTATGAGTTTATAATCTTAAACTTTTGGCTTTGTACTTCAGAGAAACAAAGATATTTAGATGTAGTAGTAAAATGTCCTGTTCCACATAAAAAAAATTCCATTAGAAAGCCTTTCAAAATATTATAAAATGTGTATTCATTAATTGTTGGAACTCAACTGACAATTAAAAATTACTATGTTTTTGTAGTGGTATTTAACTTTGTAAACATTTGTCAGCCTCCAAGAATACCTAGTACCTTAGTTTTTCTACTTGTTGCTCACCCTCACTTCACAATACCAGGTCCCAGACCTCACACTCGTGCAGATACTCCTAGAATCCCTACTTGTCTGCAGTAGCTTTTCTTGTACCACTTCACACTTGAATACCTGATATAAGACTGAATTATGATGTGATTTCCCTCAATCTTTTTTTATTGTTATTATCATTATTATTTTGAGATGGAGTTTTGCTCTGTCGTCCAGGCTGGAGTGCAATGGTGTGATCTCGGCTCACAATTCAAGTAATTCTCCTGCCTCAGCCTCCTGAGTAATTGGGATTACAGGTGTGTGTTACCATGACCAGCTAATTTTTGTGGTTTTAGTAGAGATGGGGTTTCCCTATGTTGGCCAGCTGGTCTCGAACTCCTGACCTCATGTGATCCACTCGCCTCTGCCTCCCAGAGTGCTGGGATGACAGACATGAGGCACCGTGCCTGGCTTTATTTTTTATTTTTATTTTTAGAGACAAGTTCTTGCTCTGTCACCCAGGCTGGAGAGCAGTGATCATAGCTCAGAGCATCCTGAAACTCCTGACCTCAAGAAATCCTCCTCCTTCGGCCTCCCAAAGTCCTGGGATGATAGGTGTGAGCCATATCCAGGCCCCTCAAATTTTAGAAAATGATGGTTGGCTTCCCCTTAAAGCAGCAGTCCCCAGCCTTTTGGCTCCAGGGACCAGTTGCATGGAAGACAATTTTTCCACAATTTTCCCCCCTTTTCCACAGAAAGGGGGGCGGTTTCGGGATGAAACTGTTCCACCTCAGATCATCAGCCATTAGATTCTCATAAGGAGTGTGCATAGTAGATCTCTCACAGGCACAGTTCACAATAGGGTTTGCTCTCCTACGAGAACTGAACTGAACGAGGCTGCTGATCTGACAGGAGGCAGAGCTCAGGCAGTAAGGCTCACCTGGCCGCCACTTGCCTCCTGCTGTGTGGCCTGGTTCCTAACAGGCCACAGACTTTACTGGTCGGCAGCTGGAGGGTTGGGGACTCCTGCCTTAAAGTAAACAAAAGCAGAATCTTGCTAAAAATTGGAGGAAAAAAACCATGATATTATAGTGTATTTTTATTGCCCATGAGATAGTAATTTGAGTCCACTGAACAGCTGTCAGAAATAAACTGACTCTCTCAGGTAGAGCAAAACAATACTAGATAATCAGCTACAAAGCCCCTCGCCCTAATTAAACTTTTTACCAATTGTCAGCTGATTGCATTAAAGAAAATTACACCACTCGCCCGGGAAGCTCGTGTCTTTTGTTAGTTGCATTTGGAACAGGATTGGACCAAGCAAATTACCTTCTGAAAAGGCTAGACACCCTCCCAGTTCTCTCTCCCAGCTGAAGGTATTTTTATCCCCTTTCGGAATTTGCAAATCTTCGACAAAATTCCTCTGGGGACTGGTTATCGTGTTAAAAATAATCTACATACCAAATTCTCCTTCATCGGCAGGAAATGAGCTACTCCTTAGATGTGCTGCCGCCAAAATACTCATTAAAGTTCCTGGAGCTTCACGCCGCCACTGTTTCCTGTTTTCTGGAATGCCTTCAATCACAATAACTTGGCCATCTGAAGAGAAAAGAGTTATTAAAAATAAAAATGCTTCTCATTTGCATTTGTATAAGATCACAGAATGTTAGGAGGTAACCTAATCCCACCTCTAATTTTATTAACAAAGAAGCAGAAATATAGAAAACTTTAGCGACTTCTGGGGCCGGGCGTGGTGGCTCACGCCTGTAATCCCAGCACTTTGGGAGGCCGAGGTGGGTGGATCACGAGGTCAAGAGATCGAGACCATCCTGGTCAACATGGTGAAACCCCGTCTCTACCAAAAATACAAAAATTAGCTGGGCATGGTGGCGTGTGCCTGTAATCCCAGCTACTCGGGAGGCTGAGACAGGAGAATTGCCTGAACCCAGGAGGCGGAGGTTGCCGTGAGCCGAAATCACACCATTGCACTCCAGCCTGGGTAACAAGAGAGAAACTCCGTCTCAAAAAAAAAAAAAATAGAAAAATTTAGCGACTTCTCATCACACAGCTGATGGGGGAAAGAGTCATTGTTTTGTAAACTGGCTGTTCTGGTGTGATAAAATTTCTATTTGCCTATTTTAATTGCGCTTCCCCTCAATTATCTTGTTAAGTTATAATTCCATTTATACACATAATTGCTCATTTCAGTGATACTTACATATTTCAACTTACAGCACACTTACAAATTTTAGCTCCCTCTAAGCCCAGTGTTATCAAGCACATAGAAAATAAGTAATACAAATCTTCACCACCTGTGAAGATAATGCTCAGAGGTTGGAGGCTGCTATGAACCTCTTCTAAGGAAAGGCTATGTCAGAGGTTCAAATGTAAATGAAGGAATTTCGGTAGAAAACATCATCATATCCTAAATATTCTTAACATTTCAACAACACATTGGCTTCAAAGCAATTTATATATGTATCTTTGAACTACCAACTCTCTAAATCTTATAGGGATAGCTACTCTTTTAATTCTAATTTTACTGGTGAAAACAAAAATAAGCCTATGAAATCGCAAGACCGTTGAGCTGGCCTTGGAAGGTAAATCAAGTCAGCTGCCTTCCTCCTGCACTCTTCCTCACTCTGAAGAAGGTGACATCCTAGATTTTTCCTCCTTTATATGTGCATGTCTAGAGCGGCCATTTGTCCAGGATAATTAGCAGGCAAGTCTCTTTATGGAGATATCAAAACAAGATCCTTGAAAGTGTCTGATACAAGATCTATAGGGAGTTGTACCGAGAAGTAGACTATCACATCAGGATGAGCACCAGGCTGTACAGGGCCTTGGTCTTCCCTTCCTGACAACTGACGCTAAGCACAGACTCACCGTCAGGCCCCGTGGGGCAGGTGGAGGTGATGTCGGCCACTGCCATCATCTGCAGCAGAGTCTGAGGCGCTCCTCCATCCCACTGCCTCCTGTTTCCAGCAGCAGCTGCAGTATGCATGGAAAACCCTGGGTGTAAGGAAATAACTCATTAATTCAAAAGCAAAGTGTAACTAATTGCTCCAAACAGTTCTTAGGAACTCAGAGGTAGTTTATCAGCAGGTATGTTCAAAACCAGAAAAATGACCACCCTTGTTCTAACATAGATAAAAGACTGAAATGGTAAAGAGGTGTCAACACTGCTTTACTTTTATTCTTAGTGTTTGATTGACTAGCCAATATAGCCAAATGCTAAGGAAATATCAGTGACACAAATAAACAAATTCCTTGAGGCATCTATGAGAACTTTTCCACAGAAATGTAATCTGTTCCATTTTCTTAATTTAAAATAAACTTGTTCTGACTTTTTCCTTATTACTATTTTCACTATAAAAATATCTGAAAATCAGCCAGGTGTGGTGGCTCACGCTTGTAATCCAAGCACTTTGGAGGCCAAGGTGGTGGATCACCTGAGGTCAGGAGTTCAAGACCAGCCTGACCAACATGGTGAAACACCGTCTTTATAAATTTAAAAAAAAAAAAAATTACATTTAAAAACAATTAAAAATATCTGAAAATTGCCAGGTGTGGTGGCTCACACCTATAATCCTAGCACTTTGGGAGACAAAGGCAGGTGGATCACCTGAGGTCAGGAGTTTGAGACCAGCCTGCCCAACATGGCAAAACTCCATCTCTACTAAAAATATAAAAAATTAGTTGGGCATGGTGGCGGGCACCTGTAATCCCAGCTACTCGGGAGGCTGAGGCAGGAGAATCCCTTGAAACTGGGAGGCGGAGGTTGCAGTAAGCAGAGATCACACCACTGCACTCCAGTCTGGGTGACAGAGCAAGACTCTGTCTCAAGAAAAAGAAAAAGAAAATCTGAAAATCAGCTAAGCAGAAGAAAAAAAAAGTCACCCATAATCTCACTGTCCAGAGACTATTAAAATTTCAATTTTACTCTTCTGAATATGGTTTTTGCTGTTTTGAAACAAAAAATTGGACCACATAATACATATCCTCTCAGAGCTTGCTTTTTTCAATCAGCTATAGATCATATCCAGGTTATTGAATATTCTTCTATACAGCTATTTTAAAGCAAATACAGTATTCTGCTTCATGAATGTAATATAATGTAACTAATCCTTTCCTGCCAGATTTTTAGGCTGCTGGTGATTTTTCACTATTATTAATAACACCATTATATAATGACCTCATTTGTAGCTAAATTCTTGTGGACATTTATGATTATTTAAACTAAATTATTGAAAATGATAATTCTAGGGGTAATATTTGCTTTACTAAAGCTTTTTATTGTTAAAGTTGAATTATTACTATTATTATTATTATTTTTTTTTTTTTGAGACAGAGTTTTGCTCTTGTTACCCAGGCTGGAGTGCAATGGCGCGATCTCGGCTCACCGCAACCTCCGCCTCCTGGGCTCAGGCAATTCTCCTGCCTCAGCCTCCTGAGTAGCTGGGATTACAGGCACGTGCCACCATGCCCAGCTAATTTTTTGTATCTTTAGTAGAGACGGGGTTTCACCATGTTGACCAGGATGGTCTCGATCTCTCGACCTCGTGATCCACCCGCCTCAGCCTCCCAAAGTGCTGGGATTACAGGCTTGAGCCACCGCGCCCGGCTAAAGTTGAATTATTACTAATTTATTCTGTGATATTTTTCTACGTCCTCTGAACAGCTACCTCTTCCCTGTTCAAAAAATTACTGTATTCTTTTATTCCATTTTCTAATGTATAACTTTTTTACATATAAACTCTGATTTTTTAAAATTTATTTTGTTGTATCGTATTATTTAGGGTCTGATTTCACAATCTTCCCCAAACTATTAACCAGTTGGCCCAGCAGCATTTATTTGAATAATCCTTTCTTTTCACACTGACTTGTGTTGTTACTTTTCATTTGTGCAGAATTATGATACATACTAGGATTTGTTTCTAACTTTCTCTTCTCACTGTTTTAGCTATTTGGGTGCTACTATCATACTGTTATTGAATGACTATAATTTCTGTAATATATTTTGACATTTGGAAAGGTAAATTCCACTTCACTGTACTTTTTCAAAATTTTTGGCTACTTAAGAAGCTCTAGAATTCTCCAACCTCCTGAGATCTCCCTATACCATAAAAAAATAAAAATAAAAATAAAAAAAATCTACTGTGGTTTTGATTGAAATGGCCATAAATCCACATTTTGAGGGTACAGAAAGAAAGAACCAGTTAGGCAGGCAGTTAGAGCAGGTCCTTGGTAGAATTCTTTTAAGCAAAAAAACATTCTGAAAAATCAAGCTGCAGACACAGATAAGAGAACTGGCACAGGAAACTTGCCTAAAACATGCCCACAGCTGCACAGATAAGGGAGCAAGGCCCAACATAGAAACGCCTTTGTCCTTGGTGCAACCGGTGGGCCTCCAGGAAACAATTCCTTCTCCTTTTGTGGGCATGTTCATGGTGAGCTCCAATGAGCACATTCCTTTCTTTTTGGGGCATACTTTGGACTGTGAGCCAAGCCTCTATGAACCACCACTCTGATACTCAGTCAGTTGCTGACCAAGTCTCCAATTGGTCCTCCTTTACACTATCATGTCATTTTCTTTCTCTTTTTGTTTTCTTTTTTGAGACAAGAGTCTTGCTCTGTCACCCCAGCTGGAGTGTGGCTGGAGTATGGTGGTGCAATGTTGGCTCACAGCAAACTTCACATTCCAGGTCCAAGTGACTCTTGTGCCTCAGCCTCCCAAGTAGCTGAGATTACAGGCATGCACCACAACACCCAGCTGATTTTTGTATTTTTAGTAGCAACAGGCTTTTGCCCTGTTGGCCACCCTGGTCTTGAACTCCTAGCCTCACAAGATCTGCCCATCTTGACCTCCCAAAGTGCTGGGATTACAGGCATGAGCCACCATGCCCACCCAACCATCATGTCATTTTCTGAGTGGTGCCTTTTCCAAAGACAACCCCCAGTCAGTCAGCACAGTAGGAGGACGGGGTGGAGCTGCCAGAAATATCTTGTACAAGTGAAACACCCAGCCCCATTACGTTTTTCATAAAAGCTTTTTACTCAGCTGTGAAATGGCAACCCTCTTGGGTCCCCTCTCTGCAGTGAAGAGCTTTCCTCTTTTGTTTATTAAACTTTCACTCCAAACTCACCCTTGGTGTCCACATTCCTTATTCTTTTGGTCGCAAGACAAAGAGCTCTTGGTGATACCTCAGACAACGATAGTGCAATATTTATTTGAAAAACATATTTCCAATATATAGCACTGTTATTTCTCTCCATTTATTCAAGTGGCCTTGAAATACCTCAGTAAGGATTTAGTTTTCTTTCTACACACTGCACAATTCTTGTAAAGTTTATTCCTAAGTGAATGAATATACACACACACATTCATACATATTTGCTGTTATTACTAAAAACGAGATCTGACAACCAACTGGGGAAAACACTTGCAATACATATTACAGGAAAAGGTTTGATTTAAATCAGTCTTATAAAAAACAAACGTCGCTTTCGGTAGAGAAAAGGAGGAATGGCATGAGTACATAATTCATAAGAGAAATATGAATAGTTGGCTGGGTGCAGCGGCTCACACCTCTAATCCCAGCACTTTGAGAGGCCAAGGCGGTGGATCACCTGAGGTCAAGCGTTCGAGACCAGCCTGGTCAACATGGTGAAACTTGGTCTCTACAAAAAAATTTTTTTAAAAATTAGCTGGGCGTGGTGGCATGCACCTGTAGTCCCTGCTACTTGGGGAGGCTGAGGCAGAAGAATCGCCTGAACTCATGAGATGAGGGTTGTAGTGAGCCAAGATTGCACCACTGCACTCCAGCCCTGGTGACAGAGGGAGACTCCATCTCAAAAAGAAGAAGAAGAAGAAAAAGAAAAAATATGAATGGTCAACAAATATACGGAAAAATTCTTCAGCCTAAATAATAATTACAGGAATACAGATTAAAATGAGAGAGAATTTTCAGTACACATTAATGAAGGGTTTTTCTTCCTCCTTTCATCTAAAAAACAGCCAACCCGCTCTCCTCTTCCCAGCAAACTGACACAAAGAAAACAGTTAAATTTAATCCCAGCACTTTGGGAGGCCAAGGCAGGTGGATCACGAGGTCAAGAGATCGAGACCATCCTGGTCAACATGGTGAAACCCCGTCTCTACTAAAAATACAAACAATTAGCTGGGCATGGTGGTGCATGCCTATAATCCCAACTACTCAGGAGGCTGAGGCAGGAGAATTGCCTGAACCCAGGAGCCAGAGGTTGCAGTGAGCCGAGATCGTGTCATTGCACTCCAGCCTGGGTAACAAGAGTGAAACTCCATCTCAAAAAAAAAATTTTTTTTTTTTAATGAATTTACCCCTTTCACAGTTGGCTGCTTTCCCTGAGGCCACTAAGGGTTTCTGAAGGACCAAATCCCACCCACGTCACCTGGCCTTTCTCTTTTAGTTGATGCTGCCAATTCCTGTGCCTCCTCCATGACCTGTCTCTCCTCCTTTGGCTTTACTCTCTCCTGAGTCTCCAAAATTTGTCTATATAGTGGTAGAGTTTTGTCCTAAGCTCCATTTCCCTCTCACTCCAGTCCCTCTGCCTAGGTATTTTGACATCACCAAGGTTAAAAACCACGGATATTCCAAGGGCCACCAAGCTATATCTTTATCCCTGATATGCCCCAAGCTTTCAGTCTTACACAGCATCTGCAACTGATGCCATAAAGACCTAAATCTCAACATGTTCCAAATTTAGATCACTACCTTGTCTCTCCTGACCCCATTACCCTCCATGTGATGTATATTTGGTTGGTGAAAGCTTTATGCATCTGAATTAGAAAGCCTGGAATATCCTGGAGCCCCTTCTCTTCTTCAGGCCCCACACTCAGTACCTATTCTCCCTGCACCACTCTGGCTCACGCACTTGGACTCTTCTCTTGCCTTCAGTCTCACCCTCCAGGCCATCCTTTGCTCTGGAGCCAGCATGATCCTTCTCAATCACAAATATGACGGCTTGCCAAGCCCTGGAGGAGTGTGGACCTCCCTGACTCTCTAGCCAGATCGCACTCCAACGGTACATTTCAGGCTCGGAAAACATGTTTTGTGCCTCTTTTGCTCCTAACACTTCTGTGATATTGAGAGCAGGGCCCAGATTTCATTCATCTTTGAGCTCTCTACCACCAAGCAGTCTTTGGCACAAGGGAGATTCTCAATATGCCTGCTGAATGGAGATTTTTCCAGATGGAAATGAGGCAGAGGATATTCCAGGAAAAGGAAACCAAGCCAAGTCAGGTGTGCAAATGCTCATATAGCTGTAGGAGAAGATGGGTTTTCCAGCAGGTTGTATGGATTCTATTTTCCATGGAAGGAAACAGGGAGTGCTGGGATAAGAAAAGTAGGTCAGAGCAGAATTAGGCCATGTGGTGTTAAATGTGGTAATATGTGGAATGGAGCTTATTCTGCAGGTATTATCCAAAATAAAATCTGAGCAGAGTAATAATATGCAAGATAACTTTAGTAAATGATATGATTTGGCTGTGTGCCCACCCAAGTCTCATCTTGAATTCCTGCATGTTGAGGGAGGGACCCAGTGGGAGGTGGTTGAATCATGGGGGTAGGTCTTTCCCATGCTGTTCCTATGATGGAGAATGAGTCTCATGAGATAAGATGGTTTTAAAAGGAGGAGTTCCTCTGCACAAGTTCTCTCTCTTTGCCTGCTGCCATCCATGTAAGACATGACTTGCTCTTCCTTGCCTTCCACCATGACTGTGAGGCTTCCCCAGCCATGTGGAACTGTAAGCTCAATTAAACCTCTTTCTTTTGTAAATTGCTCAGTCTCAGGTATGTCTTTATTAGCAGTATGAAAACAGACTAATACAGTAACCATTTAGAGAATGAATGGGAAATACTAGAGAAAAGGAGGTCACATAAAAGAATAAGGCAATACAGTGAAGGGAAGGCAAAGGGAAAATGAAAAGACAACATTTATGTTAGGCACCTAGTATGTGCCAGGTCATGTGTACATCAAAGCTCACTTCAGTCCTCACAATTACCCTGTATGGTTGTTCCTACTACTATTATCCCCTGTTCCTACGATAAAACTGAGATTTAGAATGTCGGAATAACTTTTAAAAGAAAGTTAATATAATCAGAAAGTGGCAGCAACACCCGAGATTCAAACTCCCATCTGTCTCTGAAGCCCACATGACACAACTGAGAGGTAACAGAGCCCTAAACTAGTAGCAGAGGGAATGAAAGAAGAAGAAGACCCCAGAGACATCTCAGAGTAGACACTATGCTGAGAGTTCACCCTGGTGACAGCACTGATTGTGAAGTTCTCTTAAGATGAGTAAACAACAACAGGGGAGGGGCCCCACATGGGGATGGGGGAACGTCTGTTCTGAGAGATGGCTAATCACAGACAAGCTGCTGGCATATCCTGCTCCCAAATACCTCATTTCTTCCACATGTAGCCCCAGCAGCACAACCTTATCCACACACTTTATCAACATGTAGCTCCTCCAGTATGACCTTATAAAATTTCCCTCCAACCACTGCCTCTTGGCAGACAGCCCCTTCTCTGCTGTGCTGCCTGTTGCACTCTTGCAACGTATCTTCATAGTTTAATAAATCTGCCTTTCTTTACCTACAATTGTCTTGATAAATTCTTTTACTGCCCATGACACTAGCCCCAACCAGTCGCACCTGTGACACTGACCAAAATAAAGGGTCACTGGAAAGGAAGAGCACAGAAGAGCTTCACTTTACACAGCTAAGTTTCAGACACTGGCAACACTTGTCCATGGAGTTTCCCAAAGGAGAATGAAAAAGACTGGTAAGTCTGGAGCTCCTGGGAGAAGCTGAAGCTGCAGGAGGGAGTGGGTGTGGAGCATGAGAGGAGGGCTGGATCTCAGGGAGCGTGGCCTCTGCATGGGTGGCAGGAGAATAGGAAGTGTGTTTCTGCCTTGCTCAGGGAGAGCAGAGAGGGTCAAGTAACAGTGGAGGCGAGGCAGATGCATGGGGATAGAGTTCAAGATGGGTTGCTAATAAAACAGTTCCTTCTCAGTTACAACTTTCAAGAGACACGTACCTGTTTCTGGGCAGTGGAGTTTTTCAAATGCTTTGTCTGTATAATCTCCATGCTCCTTTACACGTTTATACTCCTTAAACTTCATGCCATCCTCAAAAGTCAAAGTTTCATTTAGTATATCCATTACCTAAATCAATTCCACAGTGTTTCATGATAAATTAGTCATATTTTGCAAGAAAGAAAAACCACATGTTTTGTGTTCCTAGTAAAACGAAATAATTCCATAGAGTTTTAAAACTAGAGCTATGTCAGAATAAGATAAAAATAGAAATGTTTTCATTTCTTCTCCGGGTCAACAGTGTCAAGCACTGGTCATAAGGCAACTTAATTTTATCTAGACTTTCTGCCTTCAATATTATTCCACTTCAGTTCCATGCTACAGGGCTCTCAAGATTTTGTCATTCATGCCCTGCTTTAAGTAAACAACATTCTTAACCAGGTGCCCAAATCTGCTCCTAGTATTCTATAGTCAATACCAAAATGACCACTTCTGTTTCAAGCAGATAGAAGCAAAGAATAAAAAAGAATGGCAGTTAAAACTTCTTGGACTCCATTCTCTCATTTCAACAGGGCAATGACAGCACCTCACTTCACAGAAGCTCTGAGGGGACCACTTCTCAAGTTCCCACCCAGAAGCAGGTCCCCAGATCTGTTCCACTCTGATGTCACAGCTCCAGGGCATTTAGGAACTTATGGTTGAACAGAGGCGAATGCTAACTATCACAACTCTAATGAAGTCTTTATGTAGCAAATGCTCATAAAAATAAGAAATGCTAACATGAAAATGTCTTAAGCTAAAAAAGAACATTAAAGAAAAAGACTGAGCATCATGTATAATTATTCATACCTACATTGACTTAAGAGGTGAATTCAGAAAAGGTAAAATGGAAAAATAACCAGTTAATTTTGACATCTGTCATAGGTCTGATAAAACCGGGATTAAAAAAATGTTAAAATCAAGTAATAAAATGAAATTTGGATTTACTGTGTTGGGATAGCTATTGCTGTAGCAAGGAGAGCCCAAATGCATAAATGAGATTTACCCAACATTATCAATAATGAATTAAGACCTAAAGTAAATGTGCCTGGTTTCAGGGTACCTGCTCAGTTTTTTAGGTCATTATATTAGTTGTTGAATATATATCAGGTCTTCTACTTTAATTTGGCTGTGATAACAATTAATATTATGAGTAAAATAGCTCCTTTATTTAAAGAAAAGTAAATTAAAATTTAATAATTTACCTAAAGAAATAACCACAATAAAATAAAATGGGAGAATAAAAAGTATTTGGAAAACTCATTTGAACACCAAATATTTTTCTGGAAATATTTTTTAAAATTCTAGGCATCCAAATAAAAAAAGAAAAAGTCAAAGTATCTCTTCATGGATGATATGATTCTATACCTTGAAACCCCTAGACTCCACCCAAAGGTTCCTGGAGCTGATAAACAACTTCAGCAAAGTTTCAGGATACAATATCAAGTATAAAAATCAGTAGCATTCCTATAATCAAGAACATTGAAGCAGAGAGCCAAATCAAGTATGCAATCCCATTTACAATAGCCACCAAAAAAATAAATAAATAAAATACCTAGGAGTACATCTAACCAAGAAGGTGAAAGATCTCTACAAGGAAAACTACAAAACACAGAGAGAAATCATAGATAACATAAACAAATGGAAAAATATTCCACACTCATGGATTGGAATAATCAATATCATTAAAATGGCCATACTGCCCAAAGCAATCTACAGATTCAACACATTTATATCAAACTACCAACGTCATTTTTCACAGAATTAGAAAAAAAAAAAAACTATTCTAAAATTCATATGTAAACAAAAAAGAGCCCAAATAGCCAAGGAAATTCTAAGCAAAAAGAGCAAAGCCAGAGTCCTCACGTTACCCAGCTTCGAACTATACCATAAGACTACCGTAACCAAAACAGTATGGTACTGGTTCAAAAACAAACACATAAAGCAAGGAATAGAATAGAGAACCCAGAAATAAAGCTACCTATCTACAGCATCTAATCTTTGACAAAACTGACAAAAATAAGCAATGGGAAAAGGACTTCCTACCCAATAAATGGTGCTGGGATAGCTGGCTGGCTATATGCGCAAGAATGAAACTGGACCCCTGCCTTTCACTGTATACAAAAATTAACTCAAGATGAATTAACTATTTTAAATGTAAGATCTCTAACTATGGCCAGGCACAGTGGCTCATGCCTGTAATCCCAGCATTTTGGGAGGCTGAGGTGGGCAGATCACAACATGAAGAGATCAAGACCATTCTGGCCAACATGGTGAAACCCCATCTCTAGTAAAATATAAAAATTAGCTGGGTATGGTGGCACAGGCCTGCAGTCCCAGCTACTTGGGAGACTGAGGCAAGAGAATTGCTTGAACCCAGGAGGCGGAGGTTGCAGTGAGCCGAGATCATGCCACTGCACTCCAACCTGGCGACAGAGCGAGACTCTGTCTCAAAAACAAAAACAAAAAAACCTCTAACTCTCTAACTAAAAGAATCCTAGAAGAAAACCTAGGAAACACCATTCTGAACATGGGCCTTGGGAAAGAATTTGTGACTAAGTCCTCAAAAGCAATTGCAACAAAAACAAAATTGACAAGTGGGACCTAATTAAACTAAAGAGCTTCTGCACAGCAAAAGAAACTACCAACAGAGTAAACAGACAACCTACAGAAGGAAGAAAATTTTTGCACACTATGCATCCAACAAAGGTCTAATATCCAGACTCTATAAGGAACTTAACTGAACAAGAAAAGATAACCCAAATTTTAAAATGGACAAAAGACAGAAACAGACACTTCTCAAAAGAAGACATGTAAACAGCCAACAAAAATATATGAAAGAATACTCATCATCACTGATTATCAGAGAAATGCAAATCAAAACCACAATGAGATACCATCTCACATGAGTCAGAATGGCTATCACTAAAAAGTCAAAATACAAATATTGGTGAGGTTGCAGAAAAAAGGGAATGCTTATGTAGCATTGGTGGGAATGTAATATAAATTAGTTCAACCACTATAGAAAGAAGTTTGGATACTTCTCAAAGACCTTAAAACAGAACTACTGTTCAACCCAGCAATCCCATTACTGTGAAAATATCCAAAAGAAAGCAAATCATTCTACCAAAAAAACACATGTTCATCCCAACACTATTCACAATAGCAAAGTCATGGAATCAACCAAGGTGCCCAACAGTGGTGGACTGGATAAAGAAAATGTGGTACATATACACCATGGAATACTATGCAGCCATTAAAAAGAATGAAATCATGTCCTTTGCAGCAACATGAATGCAGCTGGGCACCACTATCTAAGGCAAATTCCACAGGGATAGAAAACCAAATTCTGCATGTTCTCACTTATAAATGGGAGCTAAACATTGGGTACTCATAGACATAAAGATGGCATAGATACTGGGAGCTGCTCCATTGAGCAGGGAGAAAGGAAGGGAGCAAGTCCTGAAAAACTACTGAGTATCATGCTTAGTAGCTGGATGATGGGATCATTCATATCCCAAAACTCAACATCAGACAATATATCCAGGTAACAAACCTGCACATGTATCCCTGAATCTAAAAGTTGAAAAAATTATCCTTACAGCCTGTGAAATAATGTCATGAAACATGCTATTAGGTAAGATAGATGCATTTTCTCATACCTACTAATGGAAATTTAGACTTAATGGCATACCTCTTCTTCTTGGAGCATGTTTTCATCAGAAATACATTTGTCTAAATTAATTTCAAACTTTACCCCTTTCTAGGAGAAAGCAAAGAAAAAAATCGATACAGCAATTCAATAAAAGCCATTAAATTACAACTCCCTAGGTCAATTTTATTTGACAGTATAGATTCTTAAAACCATTAGTCTCACATCACAAAATAGAGCAATTCTATAAAATACGAGAAAATCATGTAGGCAACCCAGATCACAAGGTGGCTCCCCAGCCAGCTATTTAATATGGAACCCAAAGACAAAAGTATTTCTTACCTTCGCTTTATATCTCTGTTCTGGATTTTTACTTTCCTTTATGTACTGAAGCCTAATTTGTTTCAAGTCTCTTTCAGTGTCCTGAAAGTTTAGAGAAAAATACAATTCTATCATTGTATGTTTACATGAGTTGATTTGTGGGTTAAATCTGATGATTGATTTGAGAACAAAAACAAACTTTTATAATGGAAAGTTAATAATTCACTAAAAACTTGGGCACAGCGTCCATTATCTTGAAATATTAAAACATTTTACACTGGCACTTCAGCGGGTGAAATTCTATAATGTGACAATACTGATCACTCCAGTCCACTCCAGTGCAACCCAATTCAATTCAAGAATGTAATGTTGACTGTTGATCATTCCCTTAAGAGGATTATGATCTTAATCAGGAAAATAAGTGAAGTGTACAACTCACAGTGGTATAAAGGAAGGAGAGGGCTCTGAAAATTGGCAGGCAATTTCAAGGAGGAAGAAAAGAAAACTAAAACTAGATGACAAGAATTTCAAAGGCACAACTGAGATGTGGGCTCTATATTCAGAGATTTCTTAGGGTCCTATCTGGGGCCCTCTGCTCCTCTCTTCCTTAATACAAGGGGTCTCATTCATTCCTATGGATTTAAATGCCACCTTTAAGAAGTGACTCTTAAATGGGTATCATCAGGCTTCACCTTTCCTCTCCTCTGAGCTCCAGACTCACATATCCACTGCCTACTTAGCATCATCTTCATCTTAATACTCACTCCACAAATTCACCAGAGCACTCCCTGAGGGCCAGACACCCTCAAAATGGGTTAGCACAGTGGGCATGACCAGAAAGGCCCCTGTTAACATGGAGCTTACATTTTACTGGAGTAGGATAGATAATAAATGAGTTAACGAATGACGTCATTTCAGAAATGTTAAGTGCTATCAAGGGAATAAAATAGAATAATAGGATGGAAAACGAGTCGGGATGAGAGTAACACAGGCAAAGCTTACTTGGCAATTGATTTAAGCCTGGGAATATTGGACCTTGGCATATGCAGGTCTGGGGAGAGTATTTTCCATGCAGAGGAACAGTGGGATAAAGGCTCCAAAGCAGGTATGTAACCTCTCACACCTTCTCTAACTCAGTCTCCAAAAGGAGCTCTTGAGTGCTCTCCATCCCTCCCCAGCAGTGGGCACTGAAAACTTAGGCTTTCCGCCAAGACAGAGTATCAGAAACCAGATTTAATTCCCCACCCGAAACAACCAAAGAGCCAGATCAAATATATAATAGACGAATGGATTTTAATACATTAGACATCCAGCAATGAACAGAAAGCCAATGAGACCAGCCCTGCAACTGCCCTAGCCTCCTGTCTTGAGACAGTTTGCAGGCCACGGTACAGGGATGGGGAACCGAATGTGAGAGTGGCAGACTCCCTGAGTTGATAAGACGATGCTTGGGGGTATTCAGGTGCTACAGTTTGAAGGACAAAGACCTAAAGAGCGGGGGAACTGCACAGAGAGAACTGAAACACTCCTATAATGCCCAGAGGAGTGTAACCCAGTGCAGCCATTCTGGAACACCAATTGCCTGTTCTTAGAAAGAGAAATATATACCTACTAAACAATCCATCCATCCTGGTCCAGTGTATTTACCCAAAAGAAAGAAAAGAAGCATATGACCACATAAAGATTTGTACTTGATGGTCGGCCGCAGTGGCTCACGCCTGTAATCCCAGCACTTTGGGAGGCCAAGGCAGGTGGATCCTCAGATTGAGAGTTGAAGACCAGCCCAACCAACCTGGTGAAACCCTGTCTCTAACAAAAATACAAAATTAGCCAGGCATGGTGGTGTATGCCTGTAATCTCAGCTACTTGGGAGGCTGAAGGAGGAGAATCGCTTGAACCTGGAAGGTGGAGGTTGCAGTGGGCTGAGATCATGCCATTGCACTCCAGCCTGGGCAACAAGAGTGAAACTCCAGGGCAAAAAAAAATAAATAAAAGATTTTTACATGAATATTCCTAGCAGCTTATTTATAATAGCCAAAAGCTGGAGACAACCCAAATATCCCGCTACAGTGAATGGATCAATAAATTTTGATATATTCATGCAATAGAATATACTCAGCAATAAAGAATAATGAACTATTAATATGGATAAATTGCAACATTATTATGTGAATGAAAGTAGCCAGAAAAAAAGAATACATATAGCACAACTCCATTTTTGTAATGCAAACAAATCTAGAAAATGCAAACCAACCTACAGCAACAGAAAGCAGATCCGTGGTTGCATGGGGATGAGATGGGAGGAGAGGCTGGGAGAATAGGAGAGGAGTTTACAAAAGGGTGCAACAAACTTTTGCCGGTGATGGATACGTTCACTATATTGATTGTGGTGATGGTTTCATGGGTGTGCGTGTCAAATCTTATAAAATATATACATTAAACATGTGTGGTTTATTGTGATCAATTATATCTCAATAAAACTGTTTTTTAAAATAGATGGGGGACTCAAGTCCTAGTCTGTGGCAGTATATAGGAGTAGTGAGCAAGAGACGGGACACCAGCCTGGTGTCCCTGCCTCAAGATCCCAGACCTCATGGCTGCACAGTTAATCAATCTTCACAGGACCATGAAGGGCTTTCAGATTACATGATGCTGGAGAGCCTGACAGCAGACTGAGGTTCAATGTCCCACCCACTGGAGTAGATCAAGGTTGGGATCTGAGATCGTTGTATTTTAAGGAAAGTAAAGTAATGGGACACATATTGTACAATTGAGATGACCAGACTATCCAAGCAGATCAGACAACCAATTTCACAAATATAAGTAAGATACATCAGTCACAGCCCTGATTTCAGACTTCATAATATTACCAAGCAGAAAAACACCCTTCCCAAGGTTGCAGTGCAAATAAGTAACAACGACACAGGCTGTGTATGAAGTATTTGGAAAAGCTGTGGAAGTACAGATGAGGCGTCATTAATTCTAAGGGGGAAAGGGAAAAAAGCTGTGGTAGAAATTTCACCAGGAGGTCTGATATGATGAGTTCTACAAGAAAAGAAGAGAGGGAAAGGGTATTTCAGTAGAGGAATGAGCATTTTACAAAGGCCTGAAGGTTAAAAGGAAGATGTCTTTGTAAATGAGTAGTGCTTTAAAAAGTAATTTGAGAAGGTTAGAGCCTTGGGTATGTTTGGGGAAAATGTGAGCAATGAGGCTGGAACATTCTGTTAGGAACAACTCACAAAAGTCTAGCAGGCCACACTAAGGAAAATGGCAGTTGCCATTGATCATCGAGTAGAGAAATAATGTGTTCAAATTGGTATTTTGGAAAGATAACTCTACAAATAGAGACTTTTATCAAACGTGTCTTATGTTATAGCTACACATCTCCTTCACATAAGATAATTAATACCTAAATTCAAAAAGTAGACAAACTAGGTGACAATTATTTCCTTTACAGAAGTTTGCAAAGGGATCTGCTGCTGGATTGCTCTGGAGGGCAGCCTTCAGAAAATAGCAGATGCCCTTTTTTTTTTTTTTTTTTTTTTTAAGAGATGGGGGTCTCGCTGTATTACCCAGGTTGGTCTCAAACTCCTGAGCTCAAGGGATCCTCAGCCTCCCAAATAGCTGGAACTATAGTCTCATGCCACCATTCCTGGCTTTCAGATGGCTGTTTTTGTCTGAAGATACTGATTACTGACAGAACTAGGGAACAGACAGTTTATTATACACATTTGTAGTTAAAGTTCTGTAACCTTCTTATAAAAATTTAGAAAGTAGAGAGACAATAATCACCACTACTCATACCAATCCAGATACCACCAATTACCACCGTCGGCATTTTGGTGTGTTTTCTTTCAGTGTTATTCCTCTTGCATAAAACATATAAAATTTTATTCACCCAATTCCTGATATAAAATTTTTGAGGGAGGGTACCATCATTTGTTTGTGTTCTTCCATTGGTTTATTTTTAACTACCTGACTTCTTAAAAACATTAAGGCACTGGATTTAATCTAACCAGGTTAAAATGTGAAAAAAACACATCTGTAACATCTGAGCTGTGTTTTCACAGAATTGGACTGTGATCCTACTGGCACCTTTGAATAACAAGTTTATAATTCCTTGAGGATTTTCCATTTCTAGTTGACTCTGGATCAAGCTCTAATAATAGATATAATTTAAAACACAAATAGCTGGGCGCGGTGGCTCAAGCCTGTAATCCCAGCACTTTGGGAGGCCGAGGCAGGTGGATCACGAGGTCGAGAGTTCGAGACCATCCTGGTCGACATGGTGAAACCCCGTCTCTACTAAAAATACAAAAAAATCAGCTGGGCATGGTGGCGTGTGCCTGTAATCCCAGCTACTCAGGAGGCTGAGGCAGGAGAATTGCCTGAACCCGGGAGGCGGAGGTTGCGGTGAGCCGAGATCGCGCCATTGCACTCCAGCCTGGGTAACAAGAGCAAAACTCCGTCTCAAAAAAAAAAAAAAAAAAAACACACAAAGAATTATACTAATTATAAAGAGGAGATAATAATTCTCATTAGAGGCCAAATCATTGAGAATCTTCTTACTAAGCAAAAATAAAAGCACACTTGGGCTTCTTATTCACAAAATCAACATAACTCCTTGAAAAGTAACACATGTAATCATAAGAGCATTGTTTATCAGGTTATTTCACAGGTTGAGTAACTCTCAGAATTGGCTGAAATCAAGATTCATCTTACATTATAATTGTATAATATATTCTCAGAAGGAGGAAAAAACTCTCTTGAGATTTGTTATTTCAACTCTGCCCAGCCTCTTACCTCCACCAAAAACATAAGGTTGAAATGGAAGAGGAGTTGGCTGTCAGATTTCTGGACCAATGTGTCTGAGACACTGACTCAGATCCTCCAGAGAGCGGAAGGCTTTTATACTAAAGAGCAGCAGTTCTCAAACCTGGCTGCACAACAGATCATCCAGCAAGCTTCTCCAGACAGAATGCCTGGGCCCCATCCCAGACCATCTAGGGCAGAGAGAAGCATCTGAATTTTTAAAAAGTTCCCTACATTGCTGTGCTGCACAGCAAAAGGTAAGAGCCACTCAGGTGGAGCACATGCACCACAAGCACACGCATGTCTGATAACAGCCATCATTACCTGCACAGGTGCTTCTCCCTCACATGCATCTTGATGGACAGGCAGGTTACTCTTCTTCACCAAATAGGTTTTATGACTTATTTTTGAGTTCTCCTTTAAAACAAATTTTACGCAGTCAACAAGATTGGTTCTGAGTGAGCTCTGAAGGCTACTTGGCTGATGTATGATCAATGGAATGGCTGGACAGAACCCTTTTCATAGCTCCTTCTCCACACGGCAGCCTCAGTATTTCCCAGTCCTTCCTCCATAGACTCTGTAGAAATGTCTGCTATCCATTTCTGCAGGGCTCAGGCTGCCCATCCCTGACCAGCTTTAGACATAAGACTGATGATGGCTCGAGGCTGCCCACCATGAGCCAGACCTCTGCTCTGGAGAGAACCACCTCCACGCTGCCCCTCCCAGCACACGCAGACCTCTGTCCCAACCTTTGCATGGCTCTTTCAGAATGCCCACTCCCCTCCCTTAACTCTGCCTCTCCAAATTCCACTCTTCTTCTCAGACCCAGTTTAGGCCCCACCCACTTCTTCCATAAAAACCCGTTTCCTGCTCGTTCTGCTCATGTTGGCACCTGTGCACCTTCAGGGCTTACTCTATGACTGTTTTGTGTCTCATCATTCCAACCATTTACAAGTAGATCTGCATATGCCAGAAAAAATAGTGGTTTTAATTATATATTTTTTTATTTTTTGAGACAGGATCTCCCTCTGTTGCTCAGACTGGAGTGCAGTGGAACCATCACAGTTCACAGCAGTTTCAATCTCAGGCTCCCACCTCAGCCTCCTGAGTAGCTGGTACTCCAAGTGTTTGCCACCATGCCCCACTAATTTTTTAAATCTTTCGTAGAGATGGAGTCTCATTATGTTGCCCAGGCTGGTCTGAAACTCCTGAGCTCAAGCGATCCTTCTGCCTTGGCTTCCCAAAGTGCTAGGATTACAGGCATGAATCCAAGTAGGGGTTTTATAGTCTGATTTTTGTTTTGTTTTACTTTTTATTTTATTTTTTTGAGACAGAGTCTTGCTCTGTATCCCAGGCAGGAATGCAGTGATACAATCATGCAGCCTTTAACTCCTAGCTCAAGCAATCCTCCCGCTTTAGCCTCCCAAGTAGCTAGGACTACAGGTGCAAACCATCATGCCCAGCTAATTTAAAATTTTTTTGTATATATGTGCATGTATGTAAATATATGTGTATATATATATATTATATATTTTTTGAGACTGAGTCTTGCTCTGTTGCCAGGCTAAAGTGCAGTGGCGTGATTTCAGCTCCCTGCAACCTCTGACTCCCTGGTTCAAGCAATTCTCCTGTCTCAGCTTCCCGAGTAGCTGGGACTACAGGTGCACACCACCACACCCAGTTCATTTTTGAATTTTTCGTAGAGACAGGGTTTCACCATGTTGGCCAGGACGGTCTCAATCTCCTGACCTCATGACCTGCCCGCCCTGGCCTCCCAAAGTGCTGGGATTACAGGCATGAGCCACCACGTCAGGCCTTTTTGTACTTTTTTTTAGAGCAGGAAGGGTCTCCCTATGTTTCCCAAGCTAGCCTCAAACTCCTGGGCTCAAGGAATCCTCCCACCTCAGCCTCCCAAATTGCTGGGATTATAGACATGAGCTACTGTGCCCAACCTAAAGTCAGATATTTAAATATTTAGTCTGCTTTGTAATATCTAAGTGACTTTGGATGAGCTACTTAACTTCTCTGTGTGGGAGTAAATTAAAGTAAGTATGGCTGGGCGCAGTGACTCATGCCTGTAATCCCAGCATTTTGGGAGGCTGAGGTGGGTGGATCACCTGAGGTCAGGAGTTCAAGACCAGCCTGACCAACATGGAGAAACACTGTCTCTACCAAAAATATAAAAATTCGCCAGACATGGTGGCACATGCCTATAATCCCAGCTACTGGGGAGGCCGAGGCAGGAGAATCGCTTGAACCCAGGAGGCAAAGGTCCTGTGGTGAGCTGAGATTACACCATTGCACACCAGCCTGGGCAACAAGGGCAAAACTCTGTCGTTAAAAAAAAGAAGAAGAAGAAAAAAAAGTATGTGTGATACGGTTTGGCTGTGTCCTCACCCAAATCTCACCTTGAATTGTAATAATCCCCATGTGTCAAGGGTGGGGCCAGATGGAGATAACTGAATCGAATCATGGGAGCAGTTTCCCCCATACTGTTTTCATGGTAGTGAATAAGTCTCATAAGATCTGATGTTTTTATAAATGGGAGTTACCCTACACAAGCTCTTGCCTGCTTTCATGTAAGACATGACTTTCCTCCTCCTTTGCCTTCTGCCATGATTGTGAGGCCTCCCAGCCATGTGAAACTGTGAGTCCAATAAACCTCTTTTTCTTTATAAATTACCCAGTCTCGGGTATGTCTTTATCAGCAGTGTGAGAACAGACTAACACAGTATGTGAAAGCTCTAGTTCACACCCTGGCAAATACAACTGAATTGTACCACACATTCATTTGACTTCTATTAATTTATCTGTATGCACTGTGGTGGAAGAGAAAGAGACAGAGAGACAGATGAATTTCGGCAGCAAGGTGGCTCTACTCAATGAGTGCGTGGCCAGTGCGAGTGGGATGGAGACAGCCATCTCAGTGCCTGCAAGCTTCTCCTAGGAGGGCATTCTAGGGCACTGAGTGTGTTCCTAGTGTTTCAATAGTCAGGTGTCTTTCTTACAACATGGTCTTCAAACACAGGCTGGCTATTTCATCTGACACGCTTCTGAAGAAGCAATAACTCTATAGACATTCTTGGAGATGGAATGAGCAATTTCCAATGTGGCACCTTGAAGAGATTTTTAAGGATCAGTTCAACTGCACTCAGATTTTGCCTTAAATAGCTTTTAGAACCTTACCCTGCAGATAGTTGAAAAAAATGCTAGTGTGGTGGGGATTTTTTTCCCCTCCTTCTGGGCATGAACTTACACTCATTTTGGACTTTCTGCATCTAATCCAGTTCTGGTCTAAAGTTGCTGCTCAGTAAATAGATATTGACTGATTCATGAGGAAAACAATCAATAGGTATTTTAATAATAGCCATTCCTGACAATCTCAGATATCCTTATTACCTTGCGCAGTCTCTCGTAAACCATAATAAACTGACGCTCCAGTGAGGTCTGACAGCTTTCCTATTACAAATAAGTCTGCATGATTATCTCTATGATAAAACTTTATCTTTTCTATGAGGAAATCATTACTTTTCATAGCAGCTCAATTTGGTTAGCTCTAAATCGACAGAACAATGCTTCCCCTAGAAGAACGAACTTACCTCGAGTTCTCTCCCCATCTTCTTTCTAATTTCTTTCATGTCATTGTGGTAGTGTTGGCGTATTTCCTCTAACTGCTTCCAATATTCCTGGAAAGCAAACCCAATCCAGAAACTTTAAGTGTTTATGAATACCATAACAAAAATAATCCTTATGCAGCCTACAGTTTCAAAAGTGTGTAATATAAAACAAGATAGAAAAATCTGTTGTTCCTAAAATGATAATCTGCCTTATGTTTGGCTGTGGTACTTCACACCCTGTGAGACAGCAGCTTCAGATACAGAGCTTGATTTTATATATAACCCAAATGTGTTCATGATGTACACTTAATTTATAAATCCCACCTATATATATAACCCTGTTACGCATTGAATTTTGTCCCTCCCCAAAAAGAGATATGTTGAAGTCCTAACCGCCAGTGCCTTAGAATATGACCCCATTTGAAAACACGGTTGCTGCAGATGTGACTAGTTAAGCTGAGATCATACCGGTGAGCCCTTAGTTCAATATGACTGGTGTCCTTGGAAGAAGATGGCCATATGAAGACAGGGACACACAGGGAGAACAGCATGTGATGAAGGCAGAGAATGGAGTTTTGCGACTGCAAATAAAGGAAATGCCAAAGATTGCCAGTGACGCACCAGAAACCGGGAAGAGGCAAGGAAGGATTCCCCTAGCTTTCAGAGGGCACTTGGTTCTGCTGACATCTTGATTTTGGATTTCTGCTCTCGCAGAATTGTGAGACAATACATTTCTACCGCCTTAAGTTAGCCAATTTGTTGAACTTTGTTACAGCAGCCCAGGAAACTAATACAAATGCCAAATCTGTTAATGATGGACCGTTACTCTATGAATCCAAGGCGAAAAGCTTCATGAACTTAGCCATATTGCATTCTCTGAGAAAGTGAAATACCTAACTCTGTATCCCCTGTAACACGCAGCATCGTGTTGACAAATTGAGTGTCCAAGTATTCACACAACAGCGCCCTCTCAGGGGCACTGTAGGAAATAGAAGTAACTTCCTATAACATACGAAAAGACAGTAATACAAAGAAATACAATGGTAGCCCTGGAATTAAACAGTCTTTAACCTGTTCCTTCATTTCGTTTTTCCTAAATGGCAGCTCCTGGAATCTAGGCTCTTCTCCATTACTTCTCAGCTCTTCTCTCTGGTTGTAATTTGGCTCCGCAGAAGATGGACGAAGACCCTATTTAATGAATGAAATAGTTTAAAAGCACACTTTTATTTCAGAAACATCTTGTGATTTGACCTTGACTTTTTCCTATAAACAAGAATTATATCACTAAGCAAACTCAATATCTGGGAGGGTTTTGTGGTAAGTGGTAGATTTTTCTTAATTTAAGTATAGAACATTTATATAGACAGAAAAAAATATATATGTATTATATATATACATATTCTATATATCTATATATTAATATATATCTATATATAATATGTATATATAAGAGAGTCTCACTCTGTCATCCAGGCTGGAGTACAGTGGCATAATCTTGGTTCAGTGCAACCTCTAACTCCTGGGCTCAAGCAATCTTCCTGCGACAGTGTCCTGAGTAGCTGGGACAACAAGCACATGCCGCCACATCTAGCTAATTTTAAATTTTTTGTAGAAATAAGGCCTCACTATGATGCCAGGCTGGTCCTGAACTCCTGAGCTCAAGCGATCCTCCTGCCTCAGCCTTCCAAAGTGTTGGGATTACAGGTGTGAGCCACTGTGCCACACATACAGTAAACAATTTTTAAAAATGAATTCGACCATTTAAGTAGCTTATTCTAAGTGACCCATATTTTATTCTACCATTTGAGATATGTAGATTTATTTTTGGAAATGGTAAGTTATACTTGTAATATTAAAGCTTTGTAAAGGGTTGCAACCCCAGAGCATGAATTATGTAGAAGAACAGAACTACAAGTTTTCAGCGGTTCAAAACAAGAGTAATACAAATAGGGTGCAAATCCAGCCCCTCTCAGCCCCAGAATTCTGACAGTATTTAAGGGTAAAGGTTAACTTTCATTTCAAATAAAATACAACAGTCACTTTTTTTTTTTTTTTTTTTTTGAGACACAGTCTTACTCTGTCACCCTGGCAGAGTGCAGTGGTACAATCTTAGCTCTCTGTAACCACTGTGAGCTTCAGCCATCTTCCTGCCTCAGCCTTCTGAGTAGCTGGGACTACAGGCAATGCCACAAAGCCTGGCTAATTTTTGCATTTTTTTGTAGAAATAAGGTCTCACTATGTTGTCCAGGCTATTCGTGAACTCCTAGGCTCAAGCGATCTGCCAGCTTTGGCCTCCCAAAGTGCTGGGATTACAGGTATGAGCTATTGTACCTGGCCCAGTCACTTTTTTTTTAATGTGCAGAAGAATCTTTAACAAAATAGAACCAAAGCACTACAAGGAAATTTGAAGCTCATCTACTCTAAATTGTCTCATTTATAGAAAAGGAAATTAAGGCTCAGATAGGTTGAATGAACTGTCCAAGGTCCCACAGAAGAGACAGAGCCAAGGAAGAAACAGGGCTGCTAAGACTCTGATTCAAGCCTGTTCCCATTATTTTCTTTAGCTACTAAAAACTGGGGACTCAGGCCAGGTGCAGTGGCTCACATTCTGTAATTCCAGCACTTTGGGAGGCCAAGGCGGGTAGATCACCTGAGGTCAAGAGTTCAAGAACAGTCTGAACAACATGGTGAAACCCTGTCTCTACTAAAAATACAAAAATTAGCCAGGCGTGGTGGTGGGCGCCTGCAATCCCAGCTACTCAGGAGGCTGAGACATGAGAATTGCTTGAACCCAGAAGGCAGAGGTTGCAGTGAACTGAGATGCTGCCACTGTACTCCAGCCTGGTAACAAAGTGAGACTCTGTCTCAAAAAATAAAAAACAAAAAATAACTGCAGACTGGTAGAGAGCAGTCTTGACTTTCCGGTGGAATGAACTTTGACTTGAATATCTGTGAACAGAAAAACTCTTAGGAAATTCCTAACTGCCTCCCATATTTGCTATTTTACTTACCAATTGCTTTTCCACTTTCAGCTTATATTGTTGAGCTTCAAATTTTCTCTGAAGGTACTCAGCAGGCCTTAGAAAATAAGAATGTTCAGCTTAAGTAGAAATTTTAATGAATCTCAGGCACCAATTTGACAAGTAGATTTTCAGTTTAGCAATGAGATTCACAATTCACCAGTGGCTTGAAGTTCCAAGTCCAAAAAGTAGTCCACAGTTACAGAATGTTTACAATGGAAAAGAAAACTTTGGAATTAAGAGGAAAAAGGATAAAGAATAACAAGTGAGTATACAGGAGAGGATTAAACAGAAAAATATTCTTATCCAGTGATTTTTCTTCAGGGCAAGATTCAGTCCTTCCATATGCTGTGGGGAGGAAAACAAATCCACACCCAGAAGTTCTCATGCTTTGTGTAGGTGTCTAATGTACAGGTTGGCACTCCTGATTTAACAATGGCTGCATGTTTCCTGCACCACACACTGAGCTCCCTGAGAGCAGAATGTGTCCCTCCATCCCTTTATCTCTGCACATACATGCTTAATGAAAGAGGAAATCATGATTTAGCTGTCTCTCCAAATGTTTAAGGTATTTTCCCAGCACAATTGTAATTTTAGTTAAACAATTTTCAAGTTTATACTCGTATTTTATGTTTCTTTTTTTTTTTTATAACATTTCCTGCAAAACATTTCTGTAATTACTGGTTGCTAACTAAAAACTGCATTTCAGATAATAAGTTTTTTTTGAAATATTAGTATCTTCTATGGCTCCAAAGACAGAACTGTCATTTCAGAAATAATTCCTTTAGGAAGGAACATCATGATAAGCATCCCCAATTTACAAAGAGGCAAGTTAATAATCAGGGGTTTAGAAATAGGATGGCATGACAAGCTAGTTAAAGTCTTGGAGTCTTAGTTCCTCAGCTGTAAAGTGGGCATGGTACCATTTCAAGGAATTGATATGAGGATTAGAAGAGATTGGATTGGGGCTTTGAAGTGCCTGACACACAGGTAGTTCCTGAATCAAATGAGGGTAATTTGTAGCACTCACCTGTCTCAAAAGCCTAACTGGCACGTGTATCAATATCTTCATAAGGAAAATGATTCAGACACCCAGGGACTGTCCAAAATCCAAAAGACATTCTCTCTCTGTCTACCCCCTCTCTACCGCCCACCCCCCAAATCCTGTAGAAATTTCTCTTCCTCCATCCCATGGCCTGGAATTGGATCTCCAGCAGAGAGAAAGCTGGGGCTGGGAGACCATACAAAGAAGAGGGATTACCAGGCATCGAAGGGGCATCCAGGAAAGAGAAGGACCTTCCTGCTGTCTCATGTAAGAGCCTGGGAGATAAAATCAGACATGGTCAAAATAATTGATAGCTTGACAGCTCTCAAATTTAGGCAGAGTGGAAGATAATTTTCCCAGTGGTTGAGAAAAGGGAAAGGGATTTTTGTGGCTATTCCCAGTTCATCTGTAAAATCTCTGTCCCTCACTAATTGAGTCTAATATGGATATTACAATCTGAACTAATGGAAGACTCAACTTTTGATAATTGTGGAGATAATTAAAAATGTGTTATGAAGATGGATAAAACCACAACAGTATCCAGTATCTTTAAAGATAAAAACATGTTTTTCCCATTATATGTTTCTGAAGAAATTATTCTCTTTGCATTCTTATCTCATTTTCACTTTAATGAGATTACTATCAGTCTGTTATATTTTTCATAATTCATCCAAAATTTCAATAATAAATAACCATAGTTGCCAAAGTAACAAATTCTAAACCCTGAACAAAAATAATTTGATGACAAAACATTTTTTAAAAAGAACTCTCAGACTCAGGTCTTCAGGCCTGTGTTAGGTGTCAATTATTCAGGACACAGGAATATTGACATCAGTGTGAAAAAAATCTGAAAATATTACAGATCTGCAGAAATCTGTTATAGAGTAAATTTTTTGAAAATCTATCATTAAGACCAATTTAAGTATACTATTTTCTTTCTAATATGTCCATATTTTGAGACTCCCTAAAATATAAATGCTGAAATGAAATATATTTCTCAAAATGTCTCAAATGATCCTTTGATTCTAATCATTCAATTATTAATTCAAATTAGTAAAACCTCTTTGGAAAATGGAATATATACTACTCTTTTTTTCACCTGCCATATAGTAGAATTTAGTAAAAGGAAGAAAGAACATTAAAAGGGAAAAATCATGGGTCTGTGCCTACAGTTAATGACTCTATGAAAAAGAAAATAAACTAGAACAGACTTGAGATGAAAAAGGGTCAAAGGAAAAAGAAGATAGTGTATCAATTACTTATCAATTGTGATAATCTAGCAACACATTCATTGCTTTATTCAATTACAAGACTTTGTTACTTCTGTTACTTCTTTGTTACTTCTAAATTAGCATATAGATTATATAATAATTATAACACTTCTCACAGTATACATAATTCCCACGTAATTTATAAGAGCATTTAATTGCTCTTATATGCTTGAGATGTCAACAGATTTGATTTGTGTAATATATAAGACATTCTGACGGAAACAAAAACAAAATCTTTCTAACAAAAAAGAAAAGAAGGGCTGGACACAGTGGCTCATGCCTATAGTCCCAGCACTTTAGGAGGCCAAGTCGGGTAGGCTACATGAGCTACGTGGCTGCCTGGTGAGAAAGTGCCTGAGAATTTGAAGAACCAATGAACAAGCAGGTATGGGACTGACCTAGAAAAAGGGCACTAACATGGCCAGGCACAGTGGCTCGCGTCTGTAATCCCAGCACTTTGGGAGGCCGAGGTGGGTGGATCACCTGAGGCCAGGAGTTTGAGATCAGCTTGGCCAACATAGTGAAACCCAGTCTCTACTAAAAATACAAAAATTAGCCAGGCATGGTGGCGCAGGCCTGTAGTCCCAGCTACTGGGGAGGCCGAGGCATGAGAATTGCTTGAACATGGAAGGCGGCATTTGCAGCGGGCTGAGATCATGCCACCACACTCCAGCCTAGGCAACAGAGTGAGACTCTGTCTCCAGAAAATAAATAAATAAATAAATAAATAAATAAAAGATCAAGGGAACTATGTGTTTCAAATTAAGATTTGCAAAGTTCTTCTTGGATTATTTATGTTAGGAAAATCTGGATTTCAGAATAATGAATGTTAATATATAAAGTTATTTTCAGAAAACCAAAGCTTAAGTTACACCACAATATTACCATTGAATTGCGGATAGGCCGTGCCTCTCTTCCTGACCGTAATCCTCAACTCCAGTATTTTCTTGAGGAACAGGGTGATAACTTGGTTCATGGGCTCTCCTCCTCAGCATATCAAGTTGAGCATAATAGTAATCAAAATGTCCACACACAGCAGCAAGTTTGGGCCTTCCTATCATTTTTATCTGAAGAAAAGAAGAGGGGATGTTTTTAAAAACCATAATATAAATTTACAATACTTGGCAATATGATAGTGACCAGAGCTAAGACAAGGCTCTGAAGGTGTATTTTTGCTGTGTTTCTTCTACACTTGTTTTTCACAGTAAAATAATCTTAAGAGTCCCCAAGCCTAGAGTACAAAAAGACCTAAGTACTATAGTATACCGGTTTACAATTTTGCTAAGGTATGGATATGAATCATGCATACTTCATGGTGAGTATGTGAAAAGTACTTAGCTAGTGAGTATGCCCAGCCCACCCAAGATCCAAAACTAAACTCAGAATTATTGTTTTCTGTTTTTCATAAGTTTGTTTATACCTTACTATATAAGGAAAAAAAGTATTTGTAAAATTCATACATTTGGGGATTTGCAACATTTTAGTTTCTGATAAATTGACTAAATGCAAAATGGCATCATGACTTAAAGAAAAGAAGATGCTGAATCAGAGTCATTCTTCCAGTGAAAACATAAAAAAGGTCATATAACAGCTGTCATGGGAATATTGCCATCCCAGCTCTTACCACCCCTCCCAACCAGAACAGAATGAGAACAGGAGAACCAGAAATGACAGTTTATCTCACAATTGAATAGAGGCCACTGAGTTAGAAGACAAGAAACAGATCAAATTAAGATACAAAAGCCAGTCAAGACCTTCTTGCTAAAGAGCAAAGTGGGGTCAATTTAACCTTAAATGTGGCAACTCTGTCCAGTTTACAGTTAAAAATAAAAAGAGAAAAAAAGATGAAACTACTGGAACAACCTAGGAACAAATCATTGGGAATATGAATAACAAAAACAATTAAAACCAAATGTCCTCATGTAAAGAGGTAACATATTATATTCTTTGTTCTTTTTACTGCTACATGGTTCATATATGTTAGATTGGACCACATGAAATTGCATATATTTTACCATCATTAATCTAGAAAAATGGTACCTTCATATAGTTCTATTTAAATATTAAGGTAAATGTATAAAATTTAGTTCATTAATCTAAACACAAATTACATGTTTATTAAAAAAAATTTTTTTTTAAATTCTGAGACAGGATCTTGCTCTGTCACCCAGCCTGGAGGGCAGTGGTATGATCATAGCTCATTTCAAACTCCTGGGTTCAAGGGATCCCCTGCCTCATCCTCTCAAGTAACTGGGACTAGAGGCACATGCCACCACATCCAGCTATGTTGTTGTTGTTGTTGTTGTTGTTGTTGTTGTTGCAGAGGTGAGCTCTCAATGTGTTGACCAGGCTGGTCTCAAACTCCTGGGCTGAAGTGATCCTCCTGCCTCAGCCTCCAAAAGTGTTGGATTACAGGCATGAGCCACTGCACTGACCTATTCTAAAAATCTTTTAAAGTGAGAAGTAGTTTTCTTTGTTTTACAATTTCACATGCATACAACCTAGAAGAAAATACTATTAATTACTTGTTGAAAAGTGGTTAGAAATAGAGAAAAGTATTGAAAGACAATAAACAGTTTCTTTAAAATTTTCTCTAACATCCCAACAATAATAAGAATATCAGAGGTAGTTCCTGTGGAAATCAATTTTACCTTTTCAAAGAATTGGAAAAAATGTCAATGTGTTCAACAGTTGTCGTAATTTAATTCATCCTCAAATCTTTTAGATATAGTTTCTCTTCTACAGGTCTGATAAAGAGTCCTCTGAATCACAAGATACTTTTCTTATTTCTTTAATAAAATTAAGCCCTTAGGCTGGGCACAGTGGTTCATGCCTATAATGCCAGCACTTTGGGAGGCTGAGGCAGACAGATCACTTGAGCCCAGGAGTTTGTGAACAGCCCAGGAAACACAGAGAGACCCTGACTCTACAAAAAATAAAAACCAGCTGGGCATCATGATGCACACGTGTAGTACTAGCTATTCAGGAGCCTCAGTGGGAGGATCACTTGAGCCTGGGAGGCTGAGTGATATAGTTTGGATTTGTGTCCCTGCCTAATCTCATGTTGAACTGTAATCCCCAATGTTGAAGGAGAGGCCTGGTGAATGGATCATGGGGGCAGATTTCCCCCTTGCTCTTCTTGTGATAGTGAGTGAGTTCTCATGAGATCTGGTTGTTCAAAAGTGTGTAGCAGCTACCCCTTCATTCTTTTCCTCCTGAATGTAAGATGAGCCTGCTTCCCCATCTGCCATGATTGTAAATTTCCTGAGGCCTCCCCAGCCATGCTTCTGGTACAGCCTGCAGAACTGTGAGCCAATTAAACCTCTTGTCTTTATAAATTACCCAGTCTCCGGTAGTTCTTTATAGCAGTACGACAACGGACTACCATAGTACCTTGGCACTAGGAGTCAGGTATTGTATAAATATACCTGAAAATGTGGAAGTAACTTTGGAACTGGGTAATGGGCAGAGGTTAGATGGGTATGGAGGGCTCAGAAGAAGACATGAAGATGATGGAAAGCTTGAAATGTCCTAAAGACTTGTTAAAATTGTAGTGACCAAAATGCTGACAGTGATATGGTCAATGAAGTCCGGGCTAAGGAGGTCTCAGATGGAGATGAGGAAATTATTGGGAAATGGAGCAAAGGGTACTTTTCTTATGCGTTAGCAAAGAGGTTGGAGGCATTGTATCACTACCCTAGGGATCTGTGGAACTTTGAACTTGAGAGTGATTATTTAGGATATCTGGCAGAAGAAATTTCTAAGCAACAAAGTGTTTAAGACGTGGCCTGGCTGCTCTAGCAGCCTGTGGTCATATTTGTGAGCAAATAAATGATGTAAAACTGGAACTTACATTTAAAAGAGAAGCAGAATGTAAAACAAAAGTTTGCAGCTTGGAAACAAAAACCCATTTCCTGGGGAGTAATTCAAACCAGCTGCAGAAATTTTCAAAAATAAAGAGGAGTCAAATGTTGCTAGCCAAGATAATGGGGGAAATGACTTGAAGGCATTTCAGACACCTTTGAGGCAGCCTCTCTCATTATAGGCCTGGAGGCCTAGGAGGGAAGAGTGGCTTTGAGGACCACACCCAGGTTCCCCACTACTTGTGCAGCCTCAGGATGTGGTGTCTTGCATTATGGCTGCTCTAGCTCCAAACATGGTTAAAAGGGCCCAAGGTACAGCTCAGACCACTGCTTTAGAGGGCACAAGCCATAAGCCTTGGCTTCCACATGGTGTTAAGTATGCAGGTGCACAGAGTGCAAGAGTTGAGGCGTGGGAGCCTCCACCAAGATTTCAGAAGATGTATGGAAAAGCCTAGAGGTCCAGGCAGAAGCCTGTTGCAGGGGGACCTGCTACTAGGGCAGTGCAGAGGGGAAATGTGGCATTGGAGTCCCCACGCAGAGTCCCCACTGGGGCACTGCCTAGTGGAGCTGTGAGAAGAGGGCCACTATTTTCCAGACTCCAAATCGGTAGATTGAACGACAGCTTGCACCATGCACCTGGAAAAGCTACAGGCACTCAACAGCAGCCTGTGAGAGCAGCCAAACGGGTTGTAGCCGCAATGCCTCAGAAGCAGAGCTGCCCAAGGCCTTGGGAGCCCACTCCTTGCAGCAGTATGCCCTGAATGTGAGACATGGAATCAAAAGAGATTATTTTGGAGCTTCAAGATTTAATGACTGCCCTGCTAGGTTTTGAATTTGCATGGAGTCTATAACCCCTTGTTTTGGCTAATTTCTTCCTTTTGAAATGGGTGAATTAACCCAATGCCTGTACCCCCATCATATTTTGGAAGTAAGTAACTTGTTTTTTATTTTATAGACTCATAGGTGGAAGGGACTTGACTTGTCTCAGATGAAACTTTAAACTGTGGACTTCTGAGTTAATGCTGAAATGATAATAAGCCTTGGGGGCCTGTTAAGAAGGGATAATTGTATTTTGCAATATGAGAAGGACATGAGAATTGGGAGGAACCAGAGGTAGAATGATACGGTTTGGATTTGTGTCCCTGCCCTAATTTCATGTTGAATTATAATCTCCAAAGTTAGAGGAGGGGTGTGGTGGAAGGTGATTAGATCATGGGGGTAGATTTCCCACTTGCTGTTCTTCTGACAGTAAGTAACATCTCATGAGATCTGGTTGTTTACAAGTGTGTAGCACCTCCCCATTCACTCTCTTCCTTCTACTTTGGCCATTTAAGATGAGCCTGCTTCCACTTTCACCATGATTATAAGTTTCCTGAGGCCTCACCAGCGATGTGTCCCATATAGCCTGCAGAACTGTGAGCCAATTAAACCTCTTTTCTTTATAAACTACCCAGTCTCAAGTAGTTCTTCATATTAGCCTGTATGAGAACAGACTAATACCTCAAGGCTGGAATGGGCTAAGACACGCCACTTCACTCTAGCCTGGGTGACAGAGCAAGACCCTGTTTCAAATAAATAAATAAGCTAAGCCCTGTATCAAATGAAGGGCAATAACTTAAACAATGGATTTTTTTAAAAAGTTTATATACGAACACATTTTCTAAAATGTCTACGTATCAAGTAAACACTTAGTAAATATACTTCCAAATGGTTCTATAATTATACCATGAGCCTTCTTTAAAAATGCAATTCTTTAATTAAAATATAATAGCCATTTTATCATTTGCATACCAGAAGCATTTCACTAGTATGACCTAAAAGACTCAACACTCTGCTGAAATGAATTCAAATAATTAAGCACAAAGAATCACTAGGGAAATATCAATTATTATATCATAAAAACTTCTCAATCCTATATATGTTAGTATTAAGAAAATTAAGTGCAGATTGTTTTCTATTGCTATGTTACTCATGTGTCCTACATAGAAAAACCTTAGTTATTAGAAATTAGAAGAATTTCAGTTATAAAAATAAAATTAAGGCCGGGCGCGGTGGCTCAAGCCTGTAATCCCAGCACTTTGGGAGGCCGAGGCGGGTGGATCACGAGGTCAAGAGATCGAGACCATCCTGGTCAACATGGTGAAACCCCGTCTCTACTAAAAATACAAAAAATTAGCTGGGCATGGCGGCACGTGCCTGTAATCCCAGCTACTCAGGAGGCTGAGGCAGGAGAATTGCCTGAACCCAGGAGGCGGAGGTTGCGGTGAGCCGAGATCGCACCATTGCACTCCAGCCTGGGTAACAAGAGCGAAACTCAGTCTCAAAAAAAAAATAATAATAATAAAATAAAAAAATAATAATAATAAAATTAAACCTGAAGTATACTAGTAAGAACATACAGCTTTGTTTTATAAAATGTAAAAACTAGAAGTTGTCCAACAAAATACCATTATAATGCTCATTACAGAATAAGTACAAAATCGGTGGGCTCCAAATAATGAGCTTGTACCTCATGAACATGTGCAGGTAGGTCAGAATATACCATACCTTTAATGGGTTAAAAAAATTAGAATGAATAAGACCGACTGTTTGATAGCAAAATAGATGGCCTATAGTCAACAATAACTTAATTATACATTTTAAAATAACTTAAAAGAGTATAACTGGGTTGTTCATACCTCAAAGGATAAATGCTTGACGGGATAGATACCCCATGCTCCACGATGTGCTTATTTCACATTGCTTGCCTGTATCAAAACATCTCATGTGCCCCATAAATATATATACTTACTACATACCCACAATTTTAAGTTAAAAAATTAAAGAAAAAGAATATACCAGCCAGGCACCGTGGCTCACACCTGTAATCCCCCTTGGAAGCCAAAGCAGGTGGATCAAGAGATTGAAATCATCCTGGCCAACATGGTGAAACCCCATCTCTACTAAAAACACAAAAATTAGCTGGGCATAGTGGCATGTGCCTGTAGTCCCAGCTACTCAGGAGGCTGGGGCAGAAGAATCACTTGAACCCAGGAGGTGGAGGTTGCAGTGAGCTAAGATCGCACCACTGTACTCCAGCCTGGTGGTAACCCAGCGAAACTCTGTCTTAATTTAAAAATATATATATATATATATGTATATGTATATATATACATGTATATGTATATATATATATATGTATATGTATATGTTTATGTAAAATAGCTAAAAAATCACAAAGGAAGGTTTAGAATGACTTACAGATCTGGGCTTCTGTGCTCCAGCTGGTGGTCTCCATTCATTCCTTTTAATTGGCACAGATATCCTTGATCTTGGTGGGCACTCTCCCTGGAATCTCACTTTTTGTATTTTGCACTCTTAATTAACCAAAATAAAATGGCTTCAATTTTTTAAAAATTGTACACCTTTAATACTGATACGTGTAAGAGTATAAACATAAGCTACATTTCAGCAAGTTTACTTTTTAGCCAGAGATATTTTACACACAGAGAAGTACAGCTGAAAAATATGCATTTTCTTTAAAAGGAGAAAACCATTTTTTCAGAGTCCCTTTGCATACTTCAAGTAATATATGACATCACTTTTTTTTCCAGAAAAATAGAAATTAATATTAACATTTACAGAAACAATATGTATGAGGTAATAGTAAAAGTTATTAAATTTGGTCATCAGAGCTTGGGTTATCAGGCCACTCCATTCATGTCACATTTTTTGGAATCGATGAGCAGATCTTCTCTCTCTCTCTCTCTCTCTCTCTTTTTTTTTTTTTTTTTTTTTTTTTGTTGTTGTTGTTGTTTTTGTTGAGACAGTCTCACTCTGCCACCCAGGCTACAGTGCAGTGGCTGGGTCTGAGCTCACTGCAACCTTCACCTCCCAAGTTCATGCCATTCTCATGCCTCAGCCACCTGAGTACCTGGGATGACAGACATGTGCCACCACATGCAGCTAATTTTTGTATTTTCAGTAGACACGTGGTTTGGCCATGTTGGCCAGACTGGCATCAAACTCCTGGCCTCCAGTGATCTACCCTCCTTGGCCTCCCAAAGTGCTGAGATTAAGGTATGAGTAGATTTTCTAATGTTTGTCTTTATCTCCATCAAAATTTGTTCTTGGGCTGGGCAAGGTGGCTCATACCTGTAATTCCAGCAATTTGGGAGGCCAAGGTGGAAGGACTGTTTGAACTCAAGAGTTCGAGGCCAGCCTGGGCAACCCAGTGAGACCCAATCTCAATAAAAAAAAATTGTTCTTATTCTCCTATCTTACCTATACTAGAAACATGGACAATACACTGTCCCATATTCTCTACTTATCTATTTTCTGAACATTCTCAATCTAGACTGATATACAACGTCAGTCAAATTAAATGGCAAAGAAGCTCATTCGTTTTCTCTTTAACTTTCCTTGATTTTAGCATCTCTATCACAATGGATAACATTTCCCTATCACAGATTTCTTTGAGAGGTTTTTTGCTCCTCCTGATATTGTAAGTCTAGACGTTCAGTTGTGGCTAAATTCTGGGGCTTTAACTTTCACAGCTTCAAGTGAATTAGTAATTTTCTCTTCCTTAATGCACCCCTCCCATGACACAGAGCACTTCATCACTTTCATTTAGTAACAGTTCCCGTTGTTACCGATTAGACCCCAAGATCCTAACTTCAGCTCCAGTGGTCCTTTGCAACAGAATTCTTAATTGCTGGTCTACCCTATTTTAGAAAAATAAGTTTCATCTCATTATCTGTGTCTATCTATAACCTTCTCCCACTCTATCCCTTTCCTATACAAAAGTTAAGTTTGGGTTCAACCTATTCAAGCATCTCTCTCAGCATGCCCTCTGCTTCATGAAGGTTTCCTGACTAATGAGAAGGAAGATGCTAATGTATGAGCTAGATATACAACTTTCAGGCACACTCACTAGTTGCCATTTGACAAGATGATTTTTCTCCTGCTTATACTGCTAGTATTTTTCAAATGTCCACTTTCCATATGTTTGGTGACATTTCCTTGCATTACTCTGTGTATGACACATGTGTAATAGATGCTTTTGATTGCACAGCTAGGTCACACTTACTCTGGACCACCTTCCCAGGATGTTGAGAAGCTGGCGCTCCTGCTCTGCATATAAGCATGTGATTGAATTCTTCCTGAATGACCTAAAACCAAACACACGTGTCAAGGACCTACAAACCAAAATCTCTGCCAAAATTCAAACAGCCACCTCAAAACTCACCTCGGGAGTTAAATATCTGGGAATAAGATTCTCTAAAAAGGGCCTTTTCAAAATGGAATTTATGGATGGTCGGTCTTGAGGAGATATTTTAAAGAGCTGGGATATCAAGGAATGTAGGCCACGAGAAAACCTTGGAGATATTGGGGCAAAATGTGCTTGACAAATCTTCAGAACCAGCTGCTGTAAGTTGCTACCTTCAAACTGAAAGGACAAGGAGCAATGATACTAAATCAGAGAAAAGTTACTAAAGTAACAAATCTTAAAAGTGTTAAAGTAACAAACATACCACGAAGCAAAACAATGGTTTTAAATTGCAGAAGCACTAAGCTCTGTGGGCAATCCCAGTACTTTGGGAGGCTGAAGCAGAAGGATCACTTGAGCCTAGGAGTTCAAGATCAGCCTGGGAAACACAGTTAGATCTCATCTCTCCAAGTCATGATTTTTAAAATTTTGCTGGGTATGGTGGTATGAGCCTGTGGTCCCAGCTACTTGGGAGGCTGAGGCAGGAGGATTATCTGAGCCCAGGAGGTCAAAGCTTCAGGGAGCCATGATCACATCATTGCACTCCAGCCTGGGTGACAGAGTGAGACTCTGTGTCAATAAAAAAGAAGCACTGGGCCCGGCGTGGTGGCTCACGCCTGTAATCCCAACACTTTGGGAAGCTGAGGTGGGTGGATCACGAGGTCAAGAGATCGAGACCATCCTGGTCAACATGGTGAAAGCCCGTCTCTACTAATAAAAATACAAAAAATTAGCTGGACGTGGTGGCGCGTGCCTGTAATCCCAGCTACTCAGGAGGCTGAGGCAGGAGAATTGCCTGAACCCAGGAGGCGGAGGTTGCAGTGAGCCGAGATTGCGCCATTGCACTTCAGCCTGGGTAACAAGAGCAAAACTCTGTCTCAAAAAAAAAAAAAAAAAAAAAAAAAAAAAAAAAGAAGCACTATGGTCCACCCTAAATTGTTTTCATCAACTAATCTTCCATGAGCAGATACTGCAGTTACTCAACAAGATGCCATGTTACTTAAAACAAGTTCTTTTTTTATGTTTGTTTAATTTTATCTTATTATCAAAATAATGTTTATTCATAACAAAAAACTGGAAGGTATAGGAAGTTCTAAAGTCATGGGAAAAATATGTGTAATTTTACCACTCAGAGATATAGCTCCTTCTTATCTTTTTTAAAAATCATTTTTATTTTACAAAGTTGAGGTCATAGTGATATGAAATTTTATCTCTTGCTATTTAAAATTAGCATAAACATTCTTCATTTCCTCTAAAATGCTTCATAAACCAGAGAATCTTCTATTGTATATACCCAATAGTTATTTATACATAATAATATTCAACACCACAGTGTAGCAATAAAGGTACACGTTGGCCAGGCACAGTGGCTCATGCCTATAATCCCAGCATTTGGGAGGCAGAGGCAGGCAGATCACCTGAAGTCAGGAGTTTAAGACCAGCCTGGCCAACATGGTGAAATCCCGTATCTACTAAAAATACAAAAAAATTAGCCGAGCGTGGTGGTGGGCACCTGTAATCCCAGCTACTCAGGAGACCGAGGTAGGAGAATTGCTTGAACCCAGGAGTCAGAGGTTGCAGTGAGCTGAGATCAGGCCACTGCACTCCAGTCTGGGCAACAGAGTGGGACTCTGTCTCAAAAAAAAAAAAAAAAAAATAGGTACACGTTTTGGTCAGACACTGGCTGTGCAACCCTTGACAATAATTAATAATAACAATAATAATGACAGCTGTGGAGAAAAGAGTTGATGTAGCAGGCTATCCTCAGAAAGGCCTGCTTACAATGTTGGCGTGGGAACTAAGACTTCAGGAGAATTCCCACCATTACCTGAATGTTAAGAGGGGTTCTCTCTCCCTCAGCTATTTATGCACACAATATAGCTTATGCTGAATGCCTGCTTTCTTTCCAGGTGTCTGGAAGTTTGATGGTAGAGGGTGCCTATGTGACCAGTCCCCAGTAAAAACCCTGGGCACTGGGTATATCTGATGAGCTTTCTTATAGATCACATTTCACAGGTGTCGTGGGTAACAATGCTGGAGGATTTGGCACATCCCATGTGACCTCTGGGAAAAGACTCTTTTCCTATAAACTTTGTCCATGTACATTTTCCTTTTGCCAAACATATGTACTCACACATAATTTATTTATTTAATTTTTTTTGAGACAGAGAAGACTCTGTCATCCAGGCTGGAGTGCAGTGGTGTGATCTCAGTTCACTATAGTCTCCACCTCCTGGGTTCAAGCAATTCTCGTGCCTCAGCCTCCATGTACGCCAGCATGCCCAGCTAATTTTTGCATTTTTAGTAGAGATGGGGTCTCACCATCATGTTGGCCAGGCCGGTCTCCAACTTCTGACCTCAAGTGATCTGCCTGCCTTGGCCTCCCAAAGTGGTGGGATTACAGGCATGAGCCACCATGTCAAGCCCACATAGTTTATTTTTAATGAAAATATGCTACATATACTATTCTCCAACTCAGGCTTTTTACAATATTGCTTGGACATCTTTCTATGTCAGGATATATAGATCTACCATTATTTTAAGTAGCTCATCCATATAATTTTTAACAATCTAATAAAACCAAACATTAACCTTTTTCTCCCAGAAGTTAATTTCTTTTCTACAATTCTAGTAATTCAAGATTAGTCTGGTGATGAGCATACTTACAGGATGTTTCAGTGTGCAGAGCTCATATAAGACACAGCCAAGAGACCAAATATCCCTAGAGAAGATCAGAGTTTACAAGCCACGAAAATATCCGTAACTCTTAATAAAAGCTTTTACCCTTACAGTGCCTTAAATTTGTGTTGCTTTACAATTTTATATAAGTTGACCCGTTTTTACAAATGCTTTCAGATATATCATCAATCCTTATTAGAAGATAATAGGTAAAATAAATAAAAATAAAATTTATAGTTTGTTGAATTTCTAGTGGAAGAAAGGCACACAAACTTTGCTACAACCTGGTGGCTTTAGTTCAGCTTCCTGCCCAGAGAAAATGTATATGATGAAATTTTGAGCAATTTGGAGGAGGCAGGCAGAATTCAAACATGGATTTGTTTTGACTCAAAGGTAATATTGAATTGATTTTGAAATATATGTCCTACTCAAGGCTTTTGACAGAACCAAAGTTATGTAATGAACACAGTATCTGATTCTCAATAAACATTTTTAAAAATGTACTTAAAATATATATCGTGAGAGCTTTGCTCCTTACAGATTTAGTATTTCATAAATATTTATTATATGTGATTGGTTTAGCTGAGGAGTTATTTTGTAGAACAAAAAGCACAATTAAATCTAAAAGATCAAAAAATGTATAATGAGAAATGTAAATATCAGGAGGCAAAGCAAGAAGGAATCATTAAAGTGAGGAGTGAGGTAAATGCCTCCTCCAGCAGCAATGCTTCATGCATGTAAATGAGAGAGAGAGAGAGACTGACTGACTCTTATACTAAGGGTTTGAGTACAATAGACCATAAATACAAGAGATGGTAAGATTGGTGGGAAACAATTTTGTGGGGTTTTTTTATTTTTATTTTTTCTGGTCTCAAACTCTTGAGCTCAACCAGTACTCCCTCCTTGGCCTCCCAAAGTGGAGGGAGGCATAAGCCACCTGCACCTGACCCAGGAAACAGACGTCTCCTTTCTAGAGCTTCTAGAAACTCACTGACCACTTCACACCACACAGAATTTGTCTTTTCTAGGGCTTCCACAGACCCAAACTTCTGTCCCCAGAGCACCCTCTGCAGCCAGGCTGGAGAATTCATATGCCTCCCAGGGCTCAGGCCAGTACTGCAGCCACCTGGCAGTTGGGAGGGGCCCGTTGCAGCATGGTGAAGACTGCGGTGAACCAGGAAATGTTTGCTGCTCTAACGGAGCCAGCAGCCACCCACCTGATTATTGCTAAGATCTTCCCATTTTCAGATGCACCAACTCTGCATATTTTAAAGCCTTTCAATATTTATTATTTTTTTTAATGTAGTGACAAGGTCTCACAATGTTGCCCAGGCGGGCCTTGAACCCCTAGACTCAAGCAATCATTCCCCTCAGCCTCCCCAAGTGCTAGGATTACAGGTGTGAGTCACCACATCCAGCACTATTTACATGTTGATTCACATTCTTGAAAAGCAGTACAAGGAAACAAAGCAATGCACCGCAGCACCACGCCCTGCTCTAAACAGCCCACTTTCTGTCCAGCACACTCTACCCGCATTCCTGCATGACTAACTTGAGGCCAAACTCCTAGGTGCCAGGGGATAGCTCAAAACCAAAACAAAACAAAACAAAAATCCCTGTTATTTTATGATGCAGAGAAATTCTTACTATTCTTTTTGTAATTCTCCACCATCCGAGCTTTGCCTTTCATTTACCTCTTTCAAAGTCCAATAGCCAAACATCTCTTGGGCAGTTTCCTAAACAAAAGGACAATTAACCCAAACAGAACACAGTCTTCCTTACTGCCAACTTGTTCAATGGCAGCTGGCTTTGAAAAGTTAAAATCTTTCCCTTCTCCTTATAGGAAGCAAAAGTTCCTCTTCACCTTTTTTTGCTGTATACATTAACATTACTGCTGAGGGCTGGGTGTGGTGGCTCATGTCTGCAATCCCAGCACTTTGAGAGGCAGGCAGATCACCTGAGGTCAGGAATTTGAGACCAGCCTGGGCAATATGGTGAAACCCTGTCTCTACTAAAAATACAAAAAATTATCCAGGCATGGTCCTGGTACTTGGGATGCTGAGGCACAAGAATTGCTTGAAGCTGGGAGGCAGAAGTCGCAGTGAGCCAAGATGACACCACTGCACTCCAGCCTGGGTGACAGAACCAGGCTCCATCACCAAAACAAATAATTATTATTATTACTACTGAGAACCAGACTCTGATCTCACATACATAAAAACTAGCTGGGTTTTAAAGCTGGAAGACACCTTAAAGATTACCTAGTCAATATTCTCATTGTTATGAGTTAGAGAACTGAGGACCACAGAGGTCAACTGACTTGGTCAAGTCAGCAACTGAGCCAAGACTAGGATTCCAGCTCCTAACCCAGTGATCAGTCACCAGACCACACTGTGTTCTGCTTCATCTTCTTCAATCTTGTCTTGCAACAGACAAAACAGTGCTTCAAAGGTATAAACATACAACCAAAAAATGGACATCACAGTGACGGCAATTTTTGATGTTATTTTTTTATACCACTTGTATCTTTAAAGGAAGACAAATGGCTTTCTTCTAAAGAACTTCGAAAGCTTCAGGTAACACTGCTCAGAGATAGTCTCTGGGATCCCCATTTTGTGGCAGGCCAGGTCTTACTAACGCAGGCCTCCATCACAACTGTTTCAGTACTGACTGAGTGGTAAGTTAAACACTGAAAGCTAAAAAAGCCAGTGCCCTTATATATTCCTCAGGGAATGTAACAAAAGCCCATCAAGAGTTTTGCCTAGGTCTTTCCTGGGCCTTAAAGCATGACAAAATAATGAAGGAATTCTTTTTTTTTTTTTTTTTTGAGACAGAGTTTCGCTCTTGTTACCCAGGCTGGAGTGCAATGGCGCGATCTCGGCTCACCGCAACCTCCGCCTCCTGGGTTCAGGCAATTCTCCTGCCTCAGCCTCCTGAGTAGCTGGGATTACAGGCACGTGCCACCATGCCCAGCTAATTTTTTGTATTTTTAGTAGAGACGGGGTTTCACCATGTTCACCAGGGTGGTCTCGATCTCTCGACCTCGTGATCCACCCGCCTTGGCCTCCCAAAGTGCTGGGATTACAGGCTTGAGCCACCGCGCCTGGCCTGAAGGAATTCTTAACAGGACCCATTTAGTATTAAACAAGTTTTATCAGGGGTCTGAAGAAACTCCCCAGGCCTCCACAAACAAGTTTATTGGAGGTCTGAAGGAACTCCCCAAACCTCCATGATTTAGCATAAAACAAGATTAAGGGTAATCACCCCAGCACCTTAGACTCATTTTAGATTAAGTAAACGTATTGAGGCTCCAGAAGAAGGTCTTCAGGACTCAAACCTTAGTTATAGATTAAAAGAAGTGAATCACTTATGTCCTTAAATGAATGCACTCTTCTATGTAGAAATATAGTTTAAAAGGTGTATAAGCTCCGAAAAGCTTTGCAATTTTGAGTTGGTCTGGTGATAATTTCCAAACCTCCCTATAACTGGTTACAGAAATAAAAACTCACTTCCTCCCTACTTCATCTGCATCTCATTATTGGGCCACAAGAAATAGCAGCCCAACCCTCAGTTTGGTCCAGGAACAATTTCACACATGAAGAAAATGAAATTATAAAAGTACCATAAGAAAGAGAGAAGAGAGCCGGGCGCGGTGGCTCAAGCCTGTAATCCCAGCACTTTGGGAGGCCGAGGCGGGTGGATCACGAGGTCGAGAGATCGAGACCATCCTGGTCAACATGGTGAAACCTCGTCTCTACTAAAAATACAAAAAACTAGCTGGGCGTGGTGGCGCGTGCCTGTAATCCCAGCTACTCAGGAGGCTGAGGCAGGAGAATTGCCTGAACCCAGGAGGCGGAGGTTGCGGTGAGCCAAGATCGCGCCATTGCACTCCAGCCTGGGTAACAAGAGCAAAACTCCGTCTCAAAAAAAAAAAAAGAAAAAAAAAAAGAAAGAAGAGATTTGAATTTTAGTGTTTGGAATCTTCGTTCAGTATCATCCATCAGATTTTACTGACACTTTTAAACTGAGAGTCAGCAACTTACGTTTTATTGTTGTAGGGCTCATTCTGACAGATTTCTGGGGACAGGTAGTAAGGTGTTCCAACACAAGTTCGAGCAAATTCCATGGAACTAGTAAATTATGTTAAACAATAAATTAGCACGGTTTTTTAGTGGAGATAAAGTCTTATGAAAAGTCTTAAGACATGGACATGCAAGAAGAATGTGAAAATGGATAACACAAGATTTGAAGCATACAAGTGTTAGAAGGAAGAAAAACACTATATATTGATAAAGTAACAAAATCAGTTGATTTTTAAAATTACAATTCACCTCCCAAAAAATTACACATTAAAACATATTTTTATGGCTTAAAGACTCCACAAAGAGATGAAATTGTCATGTTATAAAAATCTCTCAGATGTAAGATATTAACTAATTGCAACCACATGATTTAAAATTTAGAAAATACAAAAATGAATAATTAGAAAAAATTACCCAGAATCTTAGCACCCAAAACAACTACTGCTAAAATTCTTTTTATTTTTTGAGATGGAGTTTTGCTCTTGTTACCCAGGCTGGAGTGCAATGACGTGTTCTCAGCTCACCGCAACCTCGGCCTCCCGGGTTCAGGCAATTCTCCTGCCTCAGCCTCCTGAGTAGCTGGGATTACAGGCATGCACCACCATGCCCAGCTAATTTTTTGTATTTTTAGTAGAGATGGGGTTTCACCATGTTGACCAGGATGGTCTCGATCTCTTGACCTCATGATCCACCCGCCTCAGCCTCCCAAAGTGCTGGGATTACAGGCGTGAGCCACCACGCCCGGCCCCTATTGTTAAAATTCTGATATAATTCCTTCCTGTCTTTTTTCCACCAATATTTTTCATATAACTGTGATCACAATGTATTTAAAATTCAGAATTCCATTTTCTTTATTTAGTATAACAAAGTTATCAAGAAGTCTTCAAAAACGTAATTTTTTTTTTTTTTTTTGAGACGGAGTTTCACTCTTGTTACTCAGGCTGGAGTGCAATGGCGTGATCTCGGCTCACCGCAACCTCCGCCTCCTGGATTCAGGCAATTCTCCTGCCTCAGCCTCCTGAGTAGCTGGGATTACAGGCATGTGCCACCGTGCCCAGCTGATTTTTTTGTATTTTGAGTAGAGATGGGGTTTCACCATGTTGACCAGGATGGTCTCGATCTCTTGACCTCGTGATCCACCCGCCTCAGCCTCCCAAAGTGGTGGGATTACAGGCTTGAGCCACCGTGCCCAGCCAAACATAAATGTTTTTTATGATATAGTCAGGTACATGGCCATGCCAAGTTTTATTAAATTTAACCATTTTCCAATTATTTAGGTATTTACGTTATTCCAAATTTCAAACTATTCCCTTGGAACACATTTCCAGAAATAGAAATAGAATAGAAATATTAAAAAATCTCTTAATATATATTGCCACCAAATTGTCTTCCCAACAGGTGCACTAATTTATTCACTAGAAAGTGTGTAAGTCAAAAATAAAATTCTAAGCTCCCCAAACAACTCATGGACCCTCCCTTTGGCCAAGGACATTCCAAAGTTAACCTGAGAAATTAGTTCAGGCCATGATGGGAAGCAGGGTTGGACATGCCTCATTATTTTCTCCTTCCTTTTGGAATTCAGGCACAGTTGACCAGCATTAACATTAAACAGACCTTAAGACTGACAAAGCAGACGCTTTGTAGCAATAAGACATCAAAGTCCAGCCTGACTCTAGCATAACATCACATGACAGATAGAAGGCCTGAAAGAAATCAAAATACTTTACTCCACATCATGTTTCTTTGCCCGTATCTTGAAATAGTCCTGCAAAGCATTCTCTTATGGGGAAAATCTACATTCTGAAGAAAATCCCCTTTTTCCAAGTCTTTTTCCTGATCCAGGAGAAAATTAACTAAGAGTCTGGCACCTTTTTAAGACTGTTAAGAAACATTTACAAGCCGGGCGCGGTGGCTCAAGCCTGTAATCCCAGCACTTTGGGAGGCTGAGGCGGGTGGATCACGAGGTCAAGAGATCGAGACCATCCTGGTCAACATGGTGAAACCCCGTCTCTACTAAAAATACAAAAAATTAGCTGGGCATGGTGGTGTGTGCCTGTAATCCCAGCTACTCAGGAGGCTGAGGCAGGAGAATTGCCTGAACCCAGGGGGCAGAGGTTGCAGTGAGCCAAGATCGCGCCATTGCACTCCAGCCTGGGTAACAAGAGCGAAACTCTGTCTCAAAAAAAAAAAAAAAAAAAAAGAAACATTTACAATCTATTCTCTCTGAGGCCTGCTACTTGGAGATTTCATCTGCATAACAAAAACCTTGGTTTCCACAACCCTTATCTTAACCCACTCATTCCCTTCCATTGATTCCAGGCCTCTAGATAAGCTCTTTCAACCAACTGTAAATCAGAATAGTTTTTAATCCATCTATGACCTGGAAGCTCCCTCCCATTCCTCACAGCTTTGAGTTGTTCTGCCTTTCCAGACCAAACCCATGTACACCTTATTGATGTCTTATGTCTCTCTAAAATGTACAAAACCAAGCTGTAGCCCAGCCACCTCGGGCACATGTTCTCAGGATCTCCTGAGGGCTATGTCACAGGCATGGGCCTTTGGTCACTCGTATTTGGCTCTGAATAAATTTCTTCAAATATTTTACAGAGTTTGACTTTTTTCATTAAGAAGTGTAAACCTGCCTGTTTCACTAAATTCTCACTGGCTTTATGCGTATTAGTCACATCCGATAGTTGATAAAACTGGAATCACACTACAGAATATTAGCAACATCATTCTATTATGCCAAAATTTATCTTGAGAATTTTAATCTCAAAGTACCATCTGACTGATTTAATGCACTGACATAAAGCTACCTAAAATTATTTGGACAACCAAGATTTTAATATATTCTTAATCCATGATACCTAAAAATACATACTTGGGCTATTTTGAATAGAAAAAAAAAAATGACTTTCAAAGTACTTACTTATTCAGGACTCTTGCTATACCGAAGTCCCCAAGCTTTGCAATCATTCCATTCTTGCTAAGAAAAATGTTCTATAAATGGAGAAAATGTCATGTTGTTTGAGGCACTTCAAGAAAAGATCAGAGTTCTCTCTTAGTCTTCTGTCTGAGCTGTTACCTGAGTTTTTATGTCCCTGTGTAATATCTTCCTGTCATGAATATGTTTTAGTCCTAGAGAAATCTGTACAAACCAACTGAGGATCTATAGAGAGAACAAAAAACAAAGCCATTGAATAGCCTGGTAGTCACTGAAACGTCTTCATGGTAACATGCAAAAAGAAAGAAAGAAGTTATACACATACACATATACACACACACATAGTGTATGTCTATTTATAGAAATGAAGTTAATAGATACACTTTATAACGTTATTATTTTCATTTTACAACTAGAAAAATGGAGGCACAGAAAAGTAATCCAAATATCACTGGTATCAAGGGAAATTCCACATGCAAAAAACGATAAGTAGAAGCAAGGGAAAGAGGCATGCCATTCATGATTTTCTTCTTTTCTTACTTATCCCTGGGATGCTAATTGCATCAGGAATATACGCAGCAGCCCTGTTTCCTGATAACCTGGGCACCACCGATTCTTCCTTTACAGTGGAAGGAGGTAGGGAGAGAAAGAGGAAGAAACGCGAGATCTGTGAGGTTATTAGGAATTGTAATGAAATGTCTATATATCTAATATAAAAACAATAAATACTTTACTTTTAAAGTTTAATTTTATTCGCCGGGCGCGGTGGCTCACGCCTGTAATCCCAGCACTTTGGGAGGCCGAGGAGGGTGGATCACGATGTCAAGAGATCGAGACCATCCTGGTCAACATGGTGAAACCCCGTCTCTACTAAAAATACAAAAAATTAGCTGGGCATGGTGGCGTGTGCCTGTAATCCCAGCTACTCAGGAGGCTGAGGCAGGAAAATTGCCGGAACCCAGGAAGTGGAGGTTGCAGTGAGCCGAGATCGCGCCATTGCACTCCAGCCTGGGTAACAAGAGCAAAACTCCGTCTCAAAAAAAAAAAAAAAAAAAGTTTAATTTTATTTCTAAGTCATGATTTTATTTTATCTTTGTTGGCCATGAGCCTCTTTATGAAAATATGTCCTATGACCATAGAGATTTATTTAAACGATTCTAAAATTTCACTGGTTCTTTGTCTGCCAAATTATACAGAAAGAGGAAAATAATAGGAATAAAACTACATTCCAAACATTAATCTCCAGTTGTAATTTTAGTTCATTCCTAACAAAAAGAAAGGTAACTAAAAATTTTGTCATGAGAAGCATTTTTATAAAATGTGGCAAAATAGTACCTAGATAAGAAAGGAGAGCTTCTATGAATATGGAATTTAATATCTAACACAAATGAGCATATAAAGAATGCTTGACTAATGTTACAGAGATTAGAGATATTGATTCTTTAATCCTTTGTATATTCAAAATACTCAACTTTAAGTGGAAATTATATGAGCATGACGCTCTTACATGCTAAACCAGAACAAAGAAACAAATGGCCAAAGGATAGATGGCAGGCCTTTCTGTGTGCTGCTTGAGGCAATGGCCTTACCATCAATCACACAGGCACTAATTCAGATTCCTCTCCACACATACAAACCTGTCTCCTTTATGAGTACCTCTCCCAAGAAAGTTCCAAGGAGGCTTGGAGAACAGAAGAGAAATATGTTTATGCAAAGAGAAAGTGGGAATTGAGGCCATTATTCTTCATTTTTTGTCTCCCCCTCTTAATAACCAGTGAAACCAAACAGGCATGGCTAAGATAAGTTTCTATCCTCTCTAGCAAAGTGGGATATCTATTTTAAAACAGAGCACCAAATTGTTAAAGAGAAAACAGTGAAGCTATAAATATGTCATATGTTAAATGGCTAAGGAACACTCACATTCAGATTTTTTTTTTTTTTTTTTTTTTTTTGAGACGGAGTTTCGCCCTTGTTACCCAGGCTGGAGTGCAATGGCGCGATCTCGGCTCACCGCAACCTCCGCCTCCTGGGCTCAGGCAATTCTCCTGCCTCAGCCTCCTGAGTAGCTGGGATTACAGGCACGTGCCACCATGCCCAGCTAATTTTTTGCACTTTTAGTAGAGACGGGGTTTCACCATGTTGACCAGGATGGTCTCGATCTCTCGACCTCGTGATCCACCCGCCTCGGCCTCCCAATGTGCTGGGATTACAGGCTAGAGCCACCGCGCCCGGCTCAGATTTTTTTTTTTAACCATGAAGTTTTAACTCAGAGGCATCATACACGAGATTGTCCAAACAGACTATCTTTTCTCAAGAAAATCTCTCTCTAAAAAACAATTCAGTTTAGGTTCAACTGGAAACTTGTTCTGGACTGAATCTACCAAGAACATTGATCCACTATTTTATGGTTTGAATTTCTCTACCAAAACACATGCTTTATAACAACATAGTCTACTTATGACATTACACGTTTAATTCTCCCCCCGCCACACATATATAAAATTAAAAAGCAAATTCAAAGTTTTTACCTGATCTTCACTAAATAACACACCCCGTTGTCTACTGATCCTTTTCATGAGATCCCCTCCATCACAATATTCCATCACAATAAACAGCCTGCCATTCTCTGTAAGAAAAGAAATCATTTGGTGCTGGAAGGACTTCAGATATTTATCATCATGTCATGTTCTGGCTGTGGAATCAAAATGGACTGGGTTCTAATCCCACTATGCCATTTCTATTTCTTAGCTCTGTGACTCTGGGCAAGTCACTTTAATTTCTCTTTGCCTCATTACCTCACCTGTAAAATGGAAATAACAGTATAGAAATTTCTTCTTTGGATTGCTGGAAAGATTAAATCAGTTAATCCATGTCAGATGCTTAAAGCAATGCCTGCACATAATAAGAGTTTAAGAAATGTTGGCTATTTTTATTAATACAGTCATTTGAGAGATTAGAAATCTGCTGCAAAAATAGCAGCTGTGACTCTTTCATAACACCCTAGGAAGAATTAACAGCCCCTTCTTGAATTTGGGCATAATGCCATATTTATACGGCACTTATTCAACTACATTGTTGAATACAATAGAAACTCATAACTGACCTCTGCCTAAACCACTCACTAGATTACAGGACATTCTCCATTGCTATTGCCCCAACCAGGTTATCACTAGGCTACAAGGCTCTCTAGTATGTCCAAGTACCTCTGCTCCTACCAATTAAACTGAATCCTACCAAGACCATTGTGTTTTTTTTCCCAGTATGTTTATACCATTTATTCTTGTCGTTGTAACATAAACTGATAAAATATGAATAGAAAATGGGCCGGGCGCGGTGGCTCAAGCCTGTAATCCCAGCACTTTGGGATGCCGAGGCGGGTGGATCACGAGGTCGAGAGATCGAGACCATCCCGGTCAACATAGTGAAACCCCGTCTCTACTAAAAATACAAAAAATTAGCTGGGCATGGTGGCACGTGCCTGTAATCCCAGATACTCAGGAGGCTGAGGCGGGAGAATTGCCCGAACCCAGGAGGCGGAGGTTGCGGTGAGCCGAGATCGCGCCATTGCACTCCAGCCTGGGTAACAAGAGCGAAACTCCGTCTCAAAAAAAAAATATATATATATGAATAGAAAATGAAAGATATGATTATTTCTCCAAAAGCTATGCTGAATATTTTGAAGGACTCAGTAATACAAAGTGAGTAGTTTTCTTTTTTTAAAAAAAGAAATTGCCATTGACCTAAATGTTGAATGAAATATAACTAGAAAACTTATAAAAAGGATTGTGGACAGATTATCCACAAACACTTGCTCTATATTAAAGAAAAGAAACTATCCTTTGACAAATGCTTGTAATTTCCTTAGATTTTCTTTTCTTTTCTTTTTTTCCCCAGCCATTTGCACTCAAAGGATGATTTTGTCTTCTTATGTTAAAATATGTTTGTATAATTGCTATGGTCTAAATGTCTGTGTCTTCCCCAAATTATATGTTGAAATTCTAACTTCCATGATGATGGTATTAGGAAGTGTAGGGCTTTTGGAAGGTGAGTAGGTACTTGAACATACTAGAGAGGCCTGTAGTGTCCAAGAGAGACCCTCTCCCGTTCCACGATGTGAAGACAAAAAGAGACAAACCATCAATGAACCAGGAAGTGAATCCTCACCAGACACTGAATCTGCCTGCACCTTGATGTTGCACTTCCCAGCCTCCAGAACCGTGAGAAATAAATTTCTGTTGTTTATAAGCCACCCAGTTTATGGCATTTTGTTACAGCTGCTGGAATAGACTAAAAGAGATGATTTTCTGCTTTAACCAGCTTTTTTCATTAGCTGACCAACCACCAGCTGGGATCTTGTTAAAAAAGAAGGACTTCTACTAACTTGTTTGTCCACACTTCATTCTTCTGTACCCAAAACAGAAGTTAGCACATCAAAGGGGCCTAAATGTCTGTTGAGTAGATTCAAAAAACACAAGACAGATGCGACAAAGCCGGGCTTATAAGCAATTGTTAATCTTCCTAACATTTTCCTCTGTAGTATCCACTAAATGCCAGAATCTCTTGCCAAATAGCTATCTTTTGCTATCCCACTCTTTAAAACCTAAACCAACTTTCCCATGGATATCAGGAACCTGGCAGCATCTACCCTTGGATGCTTCTAATTTGCAAAACATGCATCTTCTTTCACGTATTTCAATTTTTCCACGTCTCTTCTTTAACACACAGATCCATTCATTTATTAACAAACTTCTATTGAGGACATGCAAAAACAAGGAATGTTATGTAGGAATAAAAAGCAAAGAAGCCATTCATCCTACTGTTAAGGAGGCAAAGGCTAGCTGGGGCTCCCTAAGCACTGGGTGAGGATTGCTGTGAAGAAGTCTGCAGGCTGGAGAGTGAGGAGAAAGTGCATGCAAGTCAGACTGGACATCCAGGAAGGGTTCTAAGAAGATGCTTCCTGGCCGGGCGCATTGGCTCAAGCCTGTAATCCCAGCACTTTGGGAGGCCAAGGCGGGTGGATCACAAGGTCAAGAGATCGAGACCATCCTGGTCAACATGGTGAAACCCCGTCTCTACTAAAAATACAAAAAATTAGCTGGGCATGGTGGCGCATGCCTGTAATCCCAGCTACTCAGGAGGCTGAGGCAGGAGAATTGCCTGAACCTGGGAGGTAGAGGTTGTGGTGAGCTGAGATCGCGCCATTGCACTCCAGCCTGGGTAACAAGAGTGAAACTCCGTCTCAAAAAAAAAAAAAAAAAAAAGAAAAAAAAGAAGATGCTTCCTGATATGCCCTAATATCTAGAGATCAGTTATTTTCAGGAATGTGTTAGTTTTAGGAGAACTGATGTTTCTTATCACTAAAGCTCAGTTATTTAAAGTCTGCCACAGCAATGAAGGGATGTCAATTTCAAAACCATGAAAGAATCAGAATAATGAGACAGAAGAGAAATGATTTAATCTCATTTCCTTTTCATCAACCTCCAGTTCACTCAACCTTACACTGGTTTTTGGTGAAAGAAACTGACTGACTCAAGATTTGTCATGACAGAGCCATCTTAAAGAAAATACTGGCTTAGCCCGTAATCCCAGCACTTTGGGAGGCCAAGGTGGGTGGATCAGTTGAAGTCAGGAATTTGACACCAGCCTGGCCAACACAGTTAAACTCCCATCTCTACTAAAAATACAAAAATTAACCAGGCGAGGTGGCGTGCACCTGTAATCCCAGCTATTTAGGAGGCTAAGGCAGGAGAACTACTTGAACCTGGGTGGTGGAGGTGCAAGATTGCACCACTGCACTCCAGTGTGGGCGTCTCAAAAAAAAAAAGAAAAAGAAAAAGAAAAAAACCACTTATGTCAATTAGCATTATCTGGCTGTAAAATAAGTATTTTATCCATTAGCCACTGTTAATTTTATATTTATTGTAAGTACCTGGAAAAATCATTTATGCTCTCAAATTTTCCATCTGCTTAAAAAATAAGCACTGAAGGAGGGAATAAAAGGTATAACTAATAATTCTTCTTCTCAAGGAACTTCCAATCTCATTGAGGGAAACAAAGAATACATATTAACCTAATAATACAGTATACTATAAATGCCATGTGAATGTATGATAAGGCCAGTAAGAGTTTAGAGGGGCTCAGAGCAGAGGTGAGAGAGATCACTTTAGATTTATGAGGTGGGATGTGTTTACTCCTAAAAGATGTATAATATTTGATAATTCAAAAAAACAAAAAAGGATACCCCAGAAAGAGAAAGCAAGGTCCACTATAGGACAGTAGTTTCTGGACCTGTAAAGCCCATTTATCATTGACCTCTCAAAACAATTAAGGGTACTATATAATCTTTTTTTTTTTTTTTTTTGAGACAGTCTTGCTTTGTTGTCCAGGCTAGAGTCAGTGGTGTCATCTCTGCTCACTGTGACCTCCACCTCCCAGGTTTAAGTGATTCTCCTTCCTCAGCCTCCCAAGTAGCTGGGACTACAGGCATGCTCCACCACGCCTGGCTAATTTTTGTATTTTTAGTGGTACGGGGTTTCACCATTTTGGCCAGGCTGTTCTCAAACTCCTGACCTCATGATACACCCACTTTGGCCTCCCAAAGTGCTGGGATTACAGGTGTGAGCCACCACACCTGGATAACCTTTTCATTTGTCAAATTCTAACATTAAACAATTATTATAATTCATTCTAAAATGCACATTAAAAAAAATTAAAGGCCTGGCAGAGTGGCTCTTGCCTGTAATCCCAGCACTTTGGGAGGCCAAGGCTATGGCAGGTGGATTGCTTGAACTCAGGTGTTTGAGATGAGCCTGGGGAACATGGTGAAACCCTGGCTCTATAAAGAAAAAAACTACTAAAATTAGCCAGGTGTGGTGGTGCATGTCTGTAGTCATAGCACTCAGGAAAATGAGGTGGGAGATCACTTAAGCCCAGAAGTTCAAGGCTGCAGTGAGCTGTAATCACACCACTGCACTCCAGCCTAAGCAACAGAGTAGACCCTATCTCAAAACGAACAAACAAAAAATCAAGATTGTTTCTTACAAACATTGGCATCTTCCAATCGATTGCTATGGAGCAGGCTAGATGGGTCTGCATAATTTCTGGAATACCTTAACCAACTTTGTTTGCTTATATTTTCTTTTTATTTGGAAATCACTGCCTGCATAATTTTTGGAATACCTTAACCAATTTTGTTTGCTTATATTTTCTTTTTTATGTGTGTGCAAGAGTAATATAAAATAAAACTCTGTGATTAAACAAACGTGAAAAAGCTCTTTCTGGCCAGGCTCAGTGCTTCCAGCACTTTGGGAGGCCACAGCCAGAGGATCACTTGAGCGGGAGTTCAAGGCTGCAGTGAGCCATGATCCAATTACCTCAACTGCAAGTAAATGAAATCTGTAACAACCTAGATGAGCCTGGAAGAGGACCATGAGCCACAGGTAATAGTCCCAGCTGACACCTTGATTTCAACTAGGTGAGACTCTGGGCGGAGACTCCAGCTATGCCAACCTCAGGCTTCTGACCTACAGAAATCAAGAGATAATAAATAGGTGTTGTTTTTAAGCCACTATATTTGTGTTCATTTGCTATGTAGTAATAGAAAACAAACACAACAGTGTGGGGATTTTTGCCTGTATTTTGTTTGCTGACATATTCTAAGACCTAGAACATGCCTGGCATATAACAGACACTTAATCAATGTTTATTGATGAAATTTAAATGGAATTAATTTAGTCTTAGGAAAATACCACTACATTCTCATTATTTTTCTTATGTGTCTTCAAACCAATAAAAATATCCTATTTTCTATAGACAAACATTAGTGCCATAATTGTTATGATCAGAGAGAGAGAAGCCATTTGCGGGTAAACAAGCCTTTACCTATAGTTTCTAAAAGACAGAGGCTACAAGGCTCCTGAAGCTTTCAGATAAACTCAGTGGTTCAAGTCCCAGCAATCTGCCAAGCAAACTCAAAGGCATCACAATAGCTCTAGATTTCCTAAGCACAGAAGTGCTCTACTTAAACAAAAAGAGTCATAAGAAAATGTAAACTTGTAGTATCAACAAACATAGCAGAGGTTATTTATACTGTAAAAATGATCTTAGTTTTGCAAAAACTTCCAGTAGCAAACTGTCCTCAAAAATCGATCTCACATGGTATAAGGAAATACTCCAGTCTTTAAAAGTGGTCCAGTCCATTCACTCATTCAGTAGATATGTATTGAGCAGCCAGTGTGTGCTAGATGCCAAGTATCAAGTGGTGAGTAAAACAGATGGAGTCCCCAAATTCATTAAGTTTACTATGTAAAGGGAGACAACTATGAAACAAATTCAAAATTATATAAATAGACATACATAAGTACAACTGCTGTGGAAGAGAAGCAAAGGGAGCTGTAATTCGAATTGTGGGTTCAGAAAAGGCTTGAAGATGAGGAGTTAGCCAGAGAGTCATAGTAATAACCTAAAAAAAAAAAGAGTAAAGAAGGCCAGGCGCAGTGACTCACGTCTGTGATCCCAGCACTTTAGGATGCCGAGGTGGGTTGATCACCTGAGGTCAGGAGTTCAAGACCAGCCTGGCCAACATGGTGAAACCCCATCTCTACTAGCCAGGCGCAGTGGTAGGCACCTATAATCCCAGCTAATTGGGAGGCTGAGATAGGAGAATCTCTTGAACCGAGGAGGTGGAGGTTGCAGTGAGCCAAGATCATACCACTGCACTCCAGCCTGGGAAACAGAGAGCGAAATTCTGACTCAGAAAAAAATAAATAAAAATAAAGACGAGAAAGATCATCTTATAGCATTATCCGCAATCAATGGATAGGAATGCAGGCACTTTATTGAGTGGCTCTCCTTGAAAGTTATTCCATGTAACCCAATTCCAGACCATGTGTACTGCTCTGTTCCCAGGAAGACCTCAGAAGAGTCCCTCCCAAGAGCTCTTTTAAATACCCAGAAGCCAAAGAAGGGTCATACACACAAAACTACTTTGAATGCAGTGGTTTTAATCAGTAAGGAACACAGTGCCCTGCACAGTGTACAAGCTTGAGACACAGTGGCTGTATTTATTTATTTACTAACTTTTACCCCACTGATGATGCTCGAAGATACTAAGGTTAACACTTCTGCTCCATGAACTACTTACCGCTCTTAAAACAGCCCCGTGCTGGGGGCTGGGCTGGGGAATGACCCCTCATAAAACTGGCAGCACATACAGCCCTGTCACATCTTAAGACATACCTGACATACTGTCTATTTTTTTATTGTCTATCTCTTCCCAGTAGAATATAAACTTCATGAAAACAGGGATTTTCATCTGCTTTGTCCACTGCTGTATTCCTGACACCTAGAACAATGTCTGGCATATAGTAAGCACACAGTAAGTATCAGTTCAGTGAAGGAATGCTGTCTGACCAATGCTCCTTCATATGTTATTTATTTTTTACCTTGGACTAGAGTGATGGTGGAGGTGAACTGTATTCAGGTGCACAGAGGAAGAGAATGCCTTCCCTAAAGTTCTCCCCCTCTATGAGGCAGTGTACCAAGCTATGGTGTGTGGCTGTTTGCTAGCTCTCTGTAAGTGGATTACACAGCCCCATCTGTTGCCTAAGGATATGCAGGATTTCATGTAAGCAGAGTACCCTCAACACACACACGCATGCATGCATGCGCACACACACACACGCACACACACACACACACACACACACACACACACCAGCAGGGTTTTGAGAGCCATAGTGTGGTGGGCTCTGTGTCTTCCTCTCTTCTCTTGCTTATGAGAACAACTAACTCCCTATCTGAGCTGCTCCTTCAGCCTAGACCCCAGACTCCAGACCCCTGCCCACCATAGCTAGTATGTAGTATAAATGAGAAACAGGTGTGTATTATTGTTAGTCAGTTACATTTGGGGGTTGTTACTATAGCAAAGAAGCTAATAAACTGTCATTAAGCTAATAATTAATTAACATTAATATTAATTAATAATTAATAATAATTATTATATAATTATATAATTATAGTATAATATAATATAAAATATAATTATATATTATATAATAATAAACAATTAATGATTAATAATTAATTAATAATAATTAACATTAAGCTAATAAACTGTCATTAACATTAAGCTAATAAACTGTCATTAACTTAAGAGAGTGAGAATTAAGGATAGGTGGAAAAACAAGAAAACATAAGAAAGCTGTCTATAAAAACTTGAGAGGAAATAAGGAGGATATCTCAAACTGCAAATTGAGTAAATGGGGAAATGACACATTTCCAAAAATTAATTTATACATAGTCCTTAGGAACAATTCTTTCCAATTTTAGTATATGTGCTGCCGAAGCGAGCACGGAACAATTCTTTTTACATATGTCCACGTGCCTATGCTTTATAAAAATACTTAAAGAATATTAGAAAAATCAAACCTTGAAATGAATTGAAGAAGGCTACAATGTTGGGATGTTTCATCTTTGCCAGAAGAATGACTTCTTTCTTTGAAGCTTCTTTTTCTTGTATGGGCATCTAAATTACATTAAGAGACAGTAGTCTGTAGAGGTAACCTGGTTTAAAGAACATGCTTTCTGCTCATTTCCATCTAAAATTCTCTAGAATGTCACTGGCTTTTTAATGTCACTTTGAAAATGATCTTTCAATGGCAGGAAACATTTCTAGAATTAACAGAATACCCTGTGTCTAATCAATGGTTCGTCAACAATCATCATCAAGAAAATAAAAACTTCCAGTGAAGTTTTGCTATATTAAAAGTTGGACTGGTGGTACTGTGTTCATTATCTAGCCATATGGAGGAAAGGTGTTTTAATATTTATCTTTCAGGAGCAAAGGAATTCTTTATAAAAATGCAACATTCCAGGAGTAAGCACTGCTGAGAAGAAACAAATGAAATCTAAAAAAAGAAAATGTGTCATATGCCAGATTTTTATATATCATATGCCTGTTTTTATACAGAAATCGGGCCAGTAAAATTTTGTATTAAGATGACTACATTTCTCAATTTCAAATAGAAATTGTCTTGTGTGGCTTCACTTTAGATGTATTTAGCTGTTCTTTCTTGTTCTACCTCTCATCTACAGACAATACTTTTCAAGGAGTGTGTGGTCACGCCTCATTTCTACTTTTTCTTTCTCACTCTTTATGCTTTGCTGACTTGTCATTTCTACCCTGACTTCCAGCCCCTGACTGCCCTGCCTTTCTAGTGTCCATGGGACCTCCACCCACTAGAGGTCTTCAACATTGGCCAAATTTTACATTCTCATTTAGACTTAAGAATTTTTTTAAATTAATATTCTCAATTCTAGCTTCACTGCATCCCAGCTGAAGGATCCTTCAGTAAGTTCCTTAACCTCTCTAAGCTTCAATGTTTCCTGCCCCAATTTAAATTGTATAGTCAGTACATAGCCGTTTCAAAACAAAACAGGTGAAATTACTCCTACCAGCTGGATAGATTTAGCAACTTAAAAAATTCCTATTATTTATTCAAAATAATATTATAAACAAAATTAAAATGCAAAATATGGCTAGATATGGTGGCTCATGCCTGTAATACCAACACTTAGGGAAGCCAAATGAGGCATGCAGATCACTTGAGGCCAGGAGTTCAAGACCAGCCTGGCCAACATGGCAAAACCCCATCTCTACTAAAAATACAAAAAAGTAGCCAGGCATGGTGGCACACACCTGTGGTCCCAGCTACTCAGGAGGCTGAGGCAGGAGAATCAGAATCTCTTGAACCTGGGAGGTGGAAGCTGCAGTAAGCCAAAATCATGCCACTGCACTCCAGCATCTCAAAAAAAAGGGGGGGGGAATAAAAACTGAAACAAAATGTAATATAATATTTCATGTATGAAATTGGCAAAGATGAGAAGAATGTCAATAGCCACTATTGGCCAGAAAGTAGCAAAATGGACACTCAATTATTTCTGGTAAAACTACACAAACTGACAAAATCTTTCTGGGAAAGCAATTTTACAATACATAATACAAACCTTTAAAATGTTCATTTTTTGGGGGGGGGGGGTCTGTATCCTGCTGAAGAAATGTTCCTTTTTCTAAGACAAGGTCTTGCTCTATCACCCAGTGTGCTCAGGCACAATCTTAGCTCACTACCTCTGCCCATTGAGCTCAAGTGATCCTCCCACTTCACTCTCCTGAGTAGGTGGGACCACAGGCAAGCACCGCTATACCCAGCTAATTTTTTGTATTTTTAGTAGAGAGGGGTCTCACCATGTTGCCCAGCCTGGTTTTGAACTCCTGGTCTCAAGTGATCCAGCTGCCTCAACCTCCCCAAGTGCTGGGATTACAGGTATGAGTGAAATTTTTCTATTTTTGACTTACTAATTCTTCTAGAAACTTATTCAAAGAAGATAATAAAAAGTGTACAGAAGCGTTCTCATACAAAAGCCTTTGTTACAGTGTTTTATTGCTAATTTTTAAGTTACCTTAATAATGTATACTTGTTTTAAGTCAAATAGAAGTGAATAAGGTAAAAGTGAAACTTCCTTCCTTCTTTCTCATCTAGCCCATAGATGAAAGTCCACAGGTGGTAACCTCACTCTGAATGGCAAAATGCAATTACTTTTGCGTCAACCTAATACTATATTCCCTAGGGACAACTGTTGTTAATAGTTAGAGCTTTTTATTTCATGCATACATAGGTGAGTATATATACATAGCATTGTTTAATAAAAATGAATCAGACTTTACATATTAAATGTTACTGAATCATAGCCAAGAAAAACAATCAACAATATAATTATCTGAAAATAGAAAAAGAGTTAAATAAATTACAGGGATTGTTTTGCTGACTTTATTTTTTTTTTTTTTTTGAGACGGAGTTTCGTCCTTGTTACCCAGGCTGGAGTGCAATGGCGCGATCTTGGCTCACCGCAACCTCTGCCTCCTGGGTTCAGGCAATTCTCCTGCCTCAGCCTCCTGAGTAGCTGGGATTACAGGCACGTGCCACCATGCCCAGCTAATGTTTTGTATTTTTAGTAGAGACGGGGTTTCACCATGTTGACCAGGATGGTCTCGATCTCTCGACCTCGTGATCCACCCGCCTCGGCCTCCCAAAGTGCTGGGATTACAGGCTTGAGCCACCGCGCCCGGCCGACTTTTTTTTTTTTTAAAGACAGAGTTCTGTTATGTTGTCTAAGCTGCATTTGAACTGCTGGGGTCAAGGGATCCTCCCCACTCTTCTTCTGGAATAGCTGGGACTATGGGCACTTGCATGCCCAGCTAAATTACGGTAGTTTTAACCTGCTACCATACTATGCAGTCATTAAAAATCAAGGGAGGTAATGTGTTAGTGTAGAAAGAGCAGAGAAAGACTTAGATGGATCTGCCGATGACTGTGCATCCTGGAGCTAACTGCTTAACCTCTTTAGCCTTGGCCCTTTCACCTGGATAGTGAGAGTAATGAGAGCTACGTTTTAGGGTTGTTGTGAGGATTACACTGAGTTGATATATATGAAACACCCAGGATGGTGTGACATATAATGGATACCCTGGAAAGTGGTCCCTTTATCATTAGTGTGAACATTTAATATCATTATATGACAACATTTTGTTACATAAAAACATTGAATGACATGAGGAAATGTTCACAATATATTGCTAATGTAAAATACTATTGGAAAAAAGTTTATCTGGGCAGGGTGTGGTGGCTCACACCTATAATCTCAGTGCTTTGGGAGGCCAAGGCATGAGGATCACGAGGTCAGGAGTTTAAGACCAGCCTGGCCAACATATTGAAACCCTGTCTCTAGTAAAATACAAAAATTAGCCAGTCATGGTGGTGCACACTTGTAGTCCTACTCTGGAGGCTGAGGCAGGAGAATCATTTGAATCTGAGAGGCAGAGGTTGCAGTGGGCTGAGATCACATCAGTGCACTCTGGCCTGTGTGACAGAGAAAACTCCATCTCAAAAAAAAAAGAGTATATCCACCATGATATCAATCATTCTAATAACTTATAAAGTATACTATACATAATAAATAGTCTACAGAGAAATTCAGGAAAATGTCCATAGTGATTAAGAAAGAGGTTATACACTATTTTTATTTTTCTCTGGCCTTTGGTTGTTTTCAAAATTTCTACAATGAACATTTTTATTTTCATAATCAAGGAAAGATAAAACACTTTGATTTGAGCCCAGAAGGAAAAGAACATGCTTGATAATGGTAGGATGATGAGAGAAAATATTATCTTTTTGGTACATGTAAGAAAATAAGCAATTTAGTTATTGGGTCTAGTGTAGAAAGTAGGGAGGCATTAGAGAAAAGAAATATACATTTATTTAGATAAGAAGTAATGAAAAACTTCATGAGAGTATATAGGAAGAAAGAAGTAATAAATGTTACTGTTGTGACACATGTTATTGGCAAATTTGATAACAAAGATATGGAAAAACAAGAATAATGGGGGCTGATATAAGATTCTACTTATTTATGGCATGGTGACAAGAGTAGTTAATGAGGAAAGTTATTTTAAAAATTGGTGCTCTATTAGAAAAATATAGTCAATTTTTTATTATACTAAAGAACAGGAGAGATGCTATGAAATGAAGTAATGTGTATTTTGATGGAGAGTCACCTCTCAAATATTTTCTCTTTACATAGAATTAAAATGGGTTTATAATTCCTAAGCATATACCAGCTTCACAATAGAGCAAGAGAGCCTGAAAGCATCTGTCCAGTGAATCATCTATCCAATAAGAATTTACTGAATATCTACTGCACCAAGCATTAGTACGAGGTGCTGTGTGGGATACCAGCACAACGCACATGGACTCTGCCCTCACAGAACACGTTCCAGCTAAATAACGAGGAAAAGGCATAAAATAAACAGACAAAGCATGTCCAGAAAGAAAGCAGTCAGGACTCTAACAGAGGTTCCAATAAAAATTAGGCAGGTTTACAGAGAAGGAGGAATTCTTTAGAGTGGGAGGATTCTTGAGATATGGTGAAGCTCAGCCTTGAACAAGTGGGATCTTGATGCTGGGAGATCCACAGGAAGGGACCCTGGGAGAAGCAGCCCTGTAAGCAAATGCAGAGGCTGGAGTGTGGAAAAAAAAGTAGGGTATGTAATGGGAGCTGTAATTTTGGAGCAAATCAGAGAGGATCTCAAACTTCTCTGAAGAACGAAACAATACAAAAGCACAAGGCAGGCCAGGCACAGTGGCTCATAACTGTAATCCCAGCACTTTGGGAGGCCAAAGCAGGAGGATCACTTGAGGCCAGCCTGGGCAACATAGCAAGATCCTGTCTCTAAAAAAAATTAAAAATTAGCCGGGTGTGGTGGCGCATGCCTGAAGTTCTATCTACTTAGGAGGCTGAGGCAGGAGGATGGCTTGTTCAAGGTTACAGTGAGCTATGATGATGCCACTGCACTGCTGCCTGAGCCACAGAATGAAACTGTCTCAAAAAAACGTACAAGGTAAACGCCACTTTCTTTCTCAATAATAACAATCTAGTGTATCTTTTTTCTTTGTACCTATATGAACATATTTGTAGGTATACATATACATGGAGAATATATATATTTTTACAAAGAGTCTATTGCCCTATACTTACTATTTTCTCAAACACTGCAGACATTGAAATTTTCCCATGTCAGCTTCACCTACAACATGACTGCTAACAGCCACTGAGTTTTTTATAAATTACTTAACAAATTACCTACTGTTGGACATTTGTTTTCTAACTGTTAATAGGGTTTTCCTTTGAATAAACTCCTAATTTCTTTTTTTTTTTTTTGAGATGGCGTTTCACTCTTGTTACCCTGGAGTGCAATGGCGTGATCTCAGCTCACTGCAACCTCCACCTCCTGGGTTCAGGCAATTCTCCTGCCTCAGCCTCCTGAGTAGCTGGGATTACAGGCACGTGCCACCATGCCCAGCTAATGTTTTGTATTTTCAGTAGAGACGGGGTTTCACCATGTTGACCAGGATGGTCTCAATCTCTTGACCTCATGATCCACTCGCCTTGGCCTCCCAAAGTGCTGGGATTACAGGCGTGAGCCACCACGCCCGGCCTAAACTCCTAATTTCTTAGTTTTCTAATGAGTTTCAAATTTTTGCATGATGACTTCATATACGGATTTTATCTTTTTATTGATTTACTAAAAGGCTAACACCATTAAGTCAATACTTGGGCACCTTTTCAGTTTTCTTTTAACTTATTTATAGTGTTTGTTTTGACATACAAACATTTTCTAATTTATGTAGTCAAACCTAGGCAACTCTTCCTCTACAACGTCTGTCCCAGTGAAGGTTTAGGGCAGGCGTCCCCAAACTACGGCCCATGGGCCGCATGTGGCCCCCTGAGGCCATTTATCCGGCCCCCAGCCACACTTCAGGAAGGGGCACCTCTTTCATTGGTGGTCAGTGAGAGGAGCACAGTATGTGGCGTGCCTCCAACGGTCTGAGGGACAGTGAACTGGCCCCCTGTGTAAAAAGTTTGGGGACACCTGGTTTAGGTGCATGGCTGGGGCATTGTCAAAATTGGGCTGGAGCCATGAGAAAGTGACTGAAGGATCCAAGTGACCCAAGGCATCGACAAAAGGACTGAAGCAACTTCCAGGAAGAGAAAGAGTCAACAGCATTCAGCAAATGACTGAATGTGGAGAGGGAATAAGCTCACATATGACCCCAAGGTTTTGAGCCTGGCTACCATAAACACATGATTGAACTTATCACAGCGCAGCACGTAGGTGGTGAAGTGTGTCTGCTTACAACGAAGAATTGCTAGTAATACTTGTTTCGGGGTACAAATGTGATACCTAGCCTCCAAGGTGGTCTCAGTGATTGTCATCCTAAATTCTTGATGCACAGGATCTCCGAGGTAACAAATGTTTATTCTTTTTTTTTTTTTTTTTTGAGACGGAGTTTCGCTCTTGTTACCCAGGCTGGAGTGCAATGGCGCGATCTCGGCTCACCGCAACCTCCGCCTCCTGGGTTCAAGCAATTCTCCTGCCTCAGCCTCCTGAGTAGCTGGGATTACAGGCACACGCCACCAGGCCCAGCTTATTTTTTGTATTTTTAGTAGAGACAGGGTTTCACCATGTTGACCAGGATGGTCTCAATCTCTTGACCTTGTGATCCACCCGCCTCGGCCTCCCAAAGTGCTGGGATTACAGGCTTGAGCCACCGCACCCGGCCAACAGATGTTTATTCTTTAAGCCACTAAGTTTGGAGTAATATGCTACACAGCAATAGATTACGAACACAGACATTACCTAAAATTATCTAGCTGGCAGAAGAAATGCAGCACTAGGGCACTGAAAGATGTCAGGGGTAGAGACAGAGACTTGGGAGTGATCTGCTTAGTGGTAAACACTGAAGTGGGGCAGTTTAGGTGACTACAGAAAGAGAAGGTCAGGAAAGCACACATGGTTGGAGACATACAGAGGTTGAAGAGAAAGATAAGCCTAAGGAAGAGCAGTCAGGTAAACAAAAGAGAGTGAGCAGAATAATGTCAGGGAAGGAAGCTAAGGTGAGCCACTAGAATAAGAGGACATTATTACGAACATGCCATGGATTCACAAAAAGATGGGCTGGGCACAGTGGCTCACGCCTGTAATCCTAGCACTTTGGGAGGCCAAGGCAGGCAGATCACGAGGTCAAGAAATCAAGACCATCTGGCCAACATGATGAAACCACATCTCTACTAAAAATACAAAAATTAGCCGATGTGGTGGAGCGCACCTATAGTTCCAGCTACTCAGGAGGCTGAGGCAGAAGAATCGCTTGGACTGGGGAGGCAGAGATTGCAGTCAGCCGCCAGGATTGTGCCACTGAACTCAAGCCTGCCACAGAGCAACACTCCATCTCAAAAAAATAAAATAAAATAATTAGACCTATTTTGGGAAATAAATCATTATCCCTGGAAGCCAGTCATCTACCCATGAGCTTTAAGTTTGGGTAGGATTTCTTACAATTTTTTTTGTCATAAAATAAAATTTATATCATTTTAACCATTTTTAAGTGCACAACTCAATGGCATTAAGTATATTCACATGGTGTAACTTGGGTAGTCCATTTTGCACACACTCTGTATGGAACTTTTTATGCTACTCTCATTTATAAATTCTCTAGAATCTGACCAACAAGACTTGCCTTAAAATTAATTCTAAAAACAATTTATTTGTTATATAACAATATTTGAAATGAACATATCACTAATGAGGATGACATAAACACTGACTAAGGTGGAGTTAGCAAAAATGATTAATTTTTAATTAGCTATATTTATTTTCCAAAATCGTTAGACAAAAATTTACATGTGATTTTCCTCTATTCATTCAGTGCACTCAATAAATTTGTTTATCACCTAATATGTGTCAGGAACTGTTCTGCATACTGAGGAAGACAAATAATCAACAAGTGAATAATTAAGACAGCAAAGTAACTGCAGAGCACTATACATGCTAGTAAGAAAATAAACCAGGCCAGCAGCAGTGGCTCATGCCTTTAATCCCAGCACTTTGGGAGGCCAAGGCAGGCAGATCACTTGAGCTCAGGAGTTCAAGACCAGCCTGAGCAACATAGTGAATCTCTATTAAAAATACAAAAAATCAGCCAGGCATGGTGGCATGCACCTGTAGTCCTAGCGACTCAGGAAGCAAAGGTGGGAAAATTGCTTGAATCCCAGAGGTGGAGGTTGCAGTGAGCAGAGATCATGCTAGTGTACTCCTGGGTGACAGACAGAGAGTCTGTCTTAAAAAAAAAAAAAGAAAGAAAGAAAGAAAGAAAGAAAGAAAGAAAGAAAAGAAAAAGAAAAAACCAAGGTAGTGTGATAAGGTGATGAGGTGTGACTGTGGCTGAGGGGGCTACCCTAGCTAGGATGTTTGCAGAAATCCCTTGTAGAGGACCTGAATAAGGAGAGAGGAAGTGCACCAGAGAAGTCAGGGCAACAGAGGAGAGTGGCATCTCACAAGGCCTTGCAGGGCACCCTAAGAAGGGTCATAGAAGCCACAGAGATATGATCTTATTTTCTATTTTCATTTATAAAATTATTTTGGGGTAGGGTCAGGGTCTTGCTATGTTGCCCAGGCTATCTCGAACTCTTGGCTTCACATAATCCTCCCACCTTGGCCATCCAAAGTGCTGGGATTACAGGGTGAGCCACTGCGTCGAGCCTCTTTTTAAAAATAAGATCATTGGTTGCTGTTTGGACAATGGACTTAGGAGGCTGAATTAACAAAAATCAATTATGGCTTAAAATTTGTAATTATAAAAAGACACAAACTCCCTTTTTATATTGGATTAAAAGCCAGCTGAATATTCCACAGAAAATTGACAGAAATTTGAACTTCTTAACTTTACCTTTTCAAAATTGATCTCTTTTACGACACAATGCTTGTTATCCGATTTCCCTTTAGCTAAGTATGCTCTCCCGAAGGCACCTTCTCCGATGGCCTTAATCACATCGTACTTATCCATGGTCTTGGATGGGCTGAGGTTCCTGGAATTACAGTAATGTGAATATATCACACACGTCTCATAAAGACTAACAAAGTCACAAAATTGATGACTAAAGTGTAAAAGAACTCACTTTGCTAAAACTTTCCTCCCAGCCTTGCCAAGACAGACAAATAACTTACCTTGTGGCCTCAGGTAACAACTGAAAGACAGTTTCTCGGTCAGACATGGGTCATAGCTCAGCTTTGATACACTTGTGCCCTGTGTTCTTGGGTAAGTAACTTAACCTGGCAAAATCTTACTTTCCTAATTTCTAAAATGGAATAACAACACCTGTTTTGCAAGTTTGTTCTGAGAATGAAAGATACTATATACCCGGTATGCCCTTAAACCTGTGTACTTTTACATTCCAGCGTTTCTTAGTGGGAACGTACTGCCCCCTAGGGGCAATTTTGGAAATAGGAGGGTGGGGAGGCTGTTTCCCCCAGATGCAGAGGCATGCGGTTGCCAAGTGGATGGGGCCTGAGATGCTACGATTCTGCCATTCGAGAGACAGTCCCGCACAATAAAGGATTACCCCCACGGTCCTACCACCTTGGAGAGTCTTCCTGTAATTCATGTGTGTGGAAAAATCTGTTATCTGCAGCTAGAACCAAACTCCATTTTACATGGAAATGCTAAGTATTTTTGCACAGTTTTAATGAACACTGACTTTTTTTTTTTTTTTTCTAGGAATGCAACTTAAAGTGAGGCTTGATTGCACTTTGGTTTGGAGGTTTACCAAGAATTGTTCCCCATTTGGGAAAATCATGCCCTCCACCGGCTATGCTGCTCCTGGTCCCGGAGACCCAACAATCTGCCTTTGCTGCCCTCAGGTTTCGGCGACTGTCCAGGCGCGACTACTGGCTACTTCTCTATTTCCTCAAGGGTAGCAGTGCCAAGCATTTCAGACGGAAATATGTACTTTCTTATTGCTTTCCTTCTATTTCCCCTTTATGCTACAGTTAGGGCATAATACAGTTTTGCTGTCGCTGTTGTTTTTAATGAGGTGAGCAAGGGGGTTGTTTTCGAATAATTTCACGTCAGGGTAGGGAGTGGGTACCACTGGGTTGCAGGGGACTGGGAACCAGCTCCACAGCCAGGGGAGGCTGCAGACACCCGAGGACCGGGTTCTGAGAGAGACGGATGCGGACTTGGGGCCGGAGGTGACCAGCCGAGAACTGAGGGCACGCGACCCTCCCGCCCAAGTGGCACCACAGGGTGGAAGCCCCCAAGTCTAGGAAAATTCCCTCTCCCCTAGGGCCGCCCCCGGAGGCGGCAGCGGGAAGCTGACCTGGACCGAGCTCAGCGCGCGGGGCGTTGCCATAGAGACCGACGCGCCCGGGACGCTAGGTCTCCTCTGGGACGCCCCTACCGCCCCGGACGGACACTCCTTCCCTTTCCTCACGGCTCCCGAAGCCCTGAGGCGGCTTCGGGCAAGAACTAAGTCTAGCCCCTGCAGCATACCTGCTCCGCAGGCTCCGCGGGGCCGGCAGGCGCGTGGAAAGGATCCGGGTTCCAGAAGCCGCTGCGCCTCCCTACAGCCGTGTCCAAGCCGCGCGAGGAAACGCGGGCGGTGCTAGGGTGGAGGCGGGCGGAGGCGGGGCGGAGCGGGCGGGCGGAGGCGGGGCGGGGCGGGGCGGGGCGGGGCGGGGCGGAGGCGGGGCGGGGCGGGGCGGAGGCGGGGCGGGCGGGGCGGAGGCGGGGCGGGCGGGGCGGAGGCGGGGTGGGGCTGGGATGGCCAGGGTACACGTCCACACCGTCCACCGCGAGGCGGGTCAGGCGCCAGGGAGTTTGGAGACCCGACAGAATCACCCCCAGTCCTGTTGCCTTGGGTCGAGATTCCTTGCACTTGACAGTAGCGCTCCCGCTTCGCAGACGTTCTTTTCTTTCCAACCCCGCAAGGCAGTAGTCTCCCAGCTTTGCAGATGAGCTACACTGAGACAGGAAGTGTTTCTTGTACAGGTCTCACATATGGCCGAGAGGTGGACGTGAGACAGGAACTGCTTCCCACTTTCTGGGCCACAGCGGCCGCTGCCAAGGGACTCTAACGAAACTGGCGCTGCCCAAGCGTCTGCACCCACGCCCCATCCCCACCCCACCTTGCCCCATTCTGGATTTGCACATCAAGCAGCTGTCTAAAATGTTTAAGTACTTGAAAAAAATGTAATTTCCAGCAACTGTAAATAGTGACGCAAGTGAAATATATCCAGCGGAATCTGAACAGTACGGTGATATAGTACCCGCCATCGTCCATCACACACACACAAACCCACAAAAAAACTCAAAAATCATAAGTTTATATCAATGCTTTTTCTCCTTCCTTCTAAAAATCATCTATCCGCCCCCTCCCCGCTTTCCCAAATTTCTTCTTTTTATAAAAGCACTCTAGTCAAATTGGATTAAGGCTGAACTAAAGGCCTCATTTTGATCTAATTGCATCTTTAAAGTTCTTATTTCCGAATGCAGTTTCATTATAAGTTATTGGTGTTAGATTTCAATATGTGGATTAGGAGTGGCGGAAAGGGGCTGGGGAATACAGCCCATAACAGGAAAGTTGTTTAGAAGTTGGAACATCCAATGTTAGTTTCTTTGGCACTGAAACTCCCTCGAAATATCAGTAGGTATATGAGATCATATACCTACTTGTTTTTGTTTAATTTCATGTGTCAGTGACCACACCCAAATTTCTTCTCTCAAATTCTCACACATACTTTATAAAATCATACCTTCATTCTACTTTCCTGATAGAATTTTATCCCAGTTATCTTTTTCATGCTTGAAAGTCTTACTGATCATCCTGTCATACTGCTGAAAGAAGTATAGAAATGGAAATTTATATTTCCCACTCATAGATTTTTATCTTTTCTGGATTAAATTGTTAAAATTACTAGTACTATATAATTTATCACAAGAAAATAGATCATAATACCAATAATTATTAAATATAAATAAAATTCTGGCCACACAGTGGCTCACTCCTGTAATCCCAGCACTTTGGGAGGCCAAGGCTGCAGATCAGGAAGTCAATAGTTTAAGATTAGCCTGGCCAATATGGTGAAATCCCATCTCTACTAAAAATAGAAAAATTAGCTTGGCGTGATGGCACATGCCAGTAATCCCAGCTACCAAGGAGGCTGAGGTGGGAGGATCGTTTGAGCCCGAGAGGTTAAGGTTTCAGGGAGCTGTGATTGCACCACTGTACTCCAGCCTGGATGACAGAGCAAGACCTTGTTCCAAAAATTAACTAAATAAAAATAATTTTTAAAATTATCATGGGAAATGTCAATTGCTTTGTATGTAGAAATACAGGGACTAAGAGTGAATCCCCAAATACCCACCCTGAACATCTTGAATTAAATAAAGGTCAAGATTTTGCGTATCATTTTTGCTTCTTCTATTTCTCCTTTTCTTTTTCTCATTTGCTGAAGTAATTTAAAGTAAATCCCAGACATCGTGTCTTTTCACCCCTTTATGCTGCAATGTACATTTCCAAAATATCCAGACATTGAGAAAGATTTTTTAAGAGGGAAGTGTCAGTCACATTAAATGTTACAGGTGACTTGAGATGAGGACGGAGGGGCTGTCAGGAAAGTTCCAGGATGGAGCTGAAGGTGCAGAGGCGGCAGGAGGAAGTGCTGACCCCAAGGCATGGCTGGAATTGGCACTAGGAGTTCACAGAGGACCTTCGAGAGAAACATTCAAGAAATGCCAATTGTTATTTTGAGAAGTGTGGTGGTAAAGAGAAGGAAGATCACATTTGAGCCTGCAGGGATGAGGCACAGAAATGTTTTTAGGATGAAGAGAGATCAATATTTGGAAGCTCAGGAGACAGGTATGAAAAAGGAGGCAAAAATGGATGGAGGAAATTCCCAGAGGGACAGGAGGGAATGAGCGGACACTGGGGTGGATCTCTCAATAAACAGGAAAGAAGTTACTCAAACTTCTAGAGGTGGAAGGAGAGGGGCGACATTCTCGGAGGGCACTGAGTCTGCAGTTTGGGGCATGAGAATTTGGAACTCCCTGGGGCAGAGACCGGGGTCAACCCAGGACTGTGATGCTATGGGATCTATCGGGTGCTGCTGCAGGCACTTTCATCATTTCGTTTAAGCCCCATCAATGAGTTTTCAGCTTAGGAAAGTGAACTCAGAGATATTAAGTAGTTTGCCCAACACATACTTAGCAAGTAGCAAAATTGCTTTTAGCGCAGAGCCCTTCTGCCAGCCCTGAAAACCACCGTCTTTAACCTGCAGGACTCACTGGGGGCACCAGTCCTCAGCAGCAGGTGGGTTTCCCCAGCATCTCCCAGAAAACAGCTGACTGGATCGGCTCAGGTGTGTGAGGGTACCTGGATATGTGAGCAGGGCAGGGTGGCAGAAGAGTGGGGGATTCAGGAACCTAGGGGTGCCTGTCCATCTTTGTTCTTGAATTATATGATTGCCTCTGGAATTCCTGCTTCTGCACTCTCCCTCTCTTTCCTTCCCTGCGCACCCTCTCTGGGGCAAACTCCTCTTTGTCCGCAGCTGCCCCCAGTTCCTTACTCAGGCTTAGTAAACCTTGCCCTTCACCTGGCAGCATCACGTCCCCCCCAACCTGCTGCCATTTGTTGAGAAAGAGGAGACCTTGGATGTCACTGGTCCACTGGCAAGTCACTTAGAGGAAGGAGCAGTTGCCCTGTGGAGCTCTATGGTGCTGTTCCGACCAGCTCAGCTGTAGGGACCCCCACCCCAGCGGCACTGAAGGAATTAAGGAGCAGACACCCAGATAGAACAGCAAAGTGAGGGACTATTGGGGGAAGCCAACAGCCTTCCGAGCTGAGAGCCTCAGGAGGCTATGAGCATTCCAGACTGAGGGCCTCGAGCAGACGCTAACCCACGAATTTATTATCTCTGAACAGGTGATTATTATTAACAAACAGGTGTTCTGTGTTTTATCATGGAACAAAAATAAACTAGTTAGGCAGCTGGTGCCTGCTTACCTCTGAATACACACAAACTAGAAAGCGTTCTCCACGAGGGAGCCACAGGGGCAGAGTCACATACCCCGTGCTTAAAGGATTGTTTTGGGCCGGGCGTGGTTGCTCAAGCCTGTAATCCCAGCACTTTGGAAGGCTGAGGCGGGCGGATCACAAGGTCAAGAGATCGAGACCATCCTGGTCAACATGGTGAAACCCATCTCTAGTAAAAACACAAAAAATTAGCTGGGCATGGTGGCGTGTGCCTGTCATCCCAGCTACTCAGGAGGCTGAGGCAGGAGAATCGCCTGAACCCAGGAGGCGGAGGTTGCAGTGACCCGAGATCGCGCCATTGCACTCCAGCCTGGGTAACAAGAGCGAAACTCCGTCTCAAAAAAAAAAAAAAAAAAAAAAAGAATTGTTTTAACTGGTGTATGATATGCCTATATGGTTTTGCTACTTTAGAATGCCCCAAGCAGTTTTCTACCTGGGGGGTGGGGGGCCTGGCAGCCAGGTTTTCCTTGCCATCATTCTCAGCAAACAGTAGAATTTAGCATACACATTAGGACTTGTTCCAGTAGTGATGTTGGCAGGTGCAGTGTGCGGCTGGGAGGTGGGTGGGCTGGCATCTGTAAGTCACATTAATGCTCTTTAGGCAATGTCCGCCTGGTCAGCAGGTGGGGAACTAGGGCTTTAGCCCACAGGTTAGTTTTAGGGGGCCTTACTTCTCCTCCTCTGCATAAGGGAATGAAAAAAACTGGTGAGCTGGACAGAACCGAGTTTGGATCACCTCAGGGGAGTCACTCAGCTTCCCAGAGCCTGAGGATGCAGTGAGAAAGAGGCTGGATAATGAGGCAAGGGAATGCTCAGAGGGCGGAGGAAGGGAGAAAGAGAGGAAGGGAGGAAGGGGTGGAAGGAAGAAAGGGAAGAAGGGAGGAAGGGAGGAATGGAGGAAGGGGAGGAAGGGAGGAAGGGAGGAAGGGGAGGAAGGGAGGAAGCAGGGAAGGGAGGAAGGGGTGGAGGGTATTGAATTCTTTCTGGTTTAATTGAAAGTGGAAAGAGTGTGTTTAAAGAGGATTCTTAGAGAAAAATCACTGAGGTAAAATACATTTTAGGTGGATGATTGAAAAGATGAAAGGTAAGGATTTCTTGGGTAACTGACCTGAGGTGACCCTGAGGGGCTCTGGGCCAATGACACTCCAGGGAGCCAGGCCCTCCTGGGATGCAAACCTAGGAAGGAGGGCTGGGCTGGGTCCATGCTTGGATGGCTGGAAGGGCCAAACCCAAGCCAGCGCCTGGCTCCATGTGGCTCCTTTCTCTAAACTAACATGCAGACTGAAATAAATAAGATATTTTCTACAAGGGGAGAATGCATTGATGATGGCTACCACTTCTTGAACCTTAAATACGTGCCTTGCATCATGATAAGTGCATAGAAACCCTTTACATGCTCATTCTCCCCAGCTGTCACACAGCCCACATGTAAAATACGATCGTTCCGGCCATTTCATGGAGAAAGAACTGAAACCAGAGTGCAGAGGCCACTCGCTGGGCCGTTCACTGAAGCTTCGCCCTCAAGGCTTCTGTGATGCTCAGGCCTCTGTGAGGCTCTAGAAGGGGCCCAGCCATGTGTTCTCGTGGCCATGTGTTTGGAAGTTTTGCAAAATGGGTTATTAATATTTCACTTGTAATTGGTTAAGACAGGTTTCCTCTTGCCAGTGTTCCCTCCAGCACATGCACGTTCCTTGTGTCAAGTGTCAATGATTTTCAGGTGAAAAGGTCATTGAGTTGAGGATACAATTAGTTTGAATGAGCGAGATCTATTCCGATGATTTGCTACCACTTCTGGGTATCAAGTGCTCCCTGTACAGGAATGGCTTCCAGGACCCAGGACGACTCCCTCTGTCCGCTTCCTGACTCACCCAGGGGCATGGTGACAGGGGTGTGCCTCTGTGTCTATGTAGAGGAACATGAACAGCAGAGGAACCCCAGACCTGTAGCACATGGAGTCCAAAGCTACTGTGGAGAATTCTCCCAATTATCTGACAGGTAAAACTGTTAGCAGAGTCGACTCTCATCAGCAAAGGCCTCTCTTGTCAGGAACGGACTTAATGTGGCCTATATCTTATAAGGACATTACGGATTGTTTTCTTCTTCAATGGCAGTTGCAAGAAATACAATTCACTGCAGCTGTTGTATTTTTAGGGCAGAAATCGATAGCAGCGTTCTATCTAATGAGTATGTCTGTGCTTGAAGTGGCATACTCTACACATTCCAGCTCTCCAGAGTGAAACATTTCTATCAGTATTGTTAGGGGAAAGGCTGAATTATCTTTTATAAAATCATAGCCAGAGGAAGAGTCCATCGGACCCCCAAAATACAGGGTAAAAGTGTTGCAGAAGTGTACTGGTTGATAAAAACATGAAATTAGGTTTCTGGATTGTTTAGCGTTTTTCAGTACTTGTCAGCTCTTTGATATTTGTGGTTTGCCGTGAAGTCTTTACATTCCAAACATCACTTTTGTACCTAATTTTGTATTTGTAATTTTATATCCTTCTTTTCTTAAGGAAAATACTCCAGACTGTATAAGATGGAGGCCCACAAAACCTGAATCTATTCCTGACAGAGTCATGAAGTAACAAGCTGGAATCACAGCCACTAAATGGCCAAGCCAGGATTTGAAGCTGGAATTCAAGCGTGGACCTTGGAAGGGCGTCCTGGACTCTAACATGCGTCCCTGGAGTCAGGGTCCTGTTGAGGTGCAGATTCTGACTCAGTAGATGTGGGCTGGGGCCCAGGTGCCGTGAGGCTGCTGCTCTATGGGCCACACTCAGGAGCCTCGGTCTCTCAGCTAATGCGCTCTATGGCGGCTCTCAGGCAGTGCAATTAACCACTGCCACTCAGGGAGGTGGTGGGAGTGGTTAGTGCCCAGATAGCAGAGTCAGAGGCTGAACTCACAGCTCCTGCCCCTGCCTACCATGGTGGCAGGTGGGCTAAGTGTGGAGTCCCAGGAGTCAGCTCTGGGTCCCCAAGAGGAATGTCCCTTCCAGCCCCCTACACCTCAGGTGGGAGCTGCCCCTCCTGTTTCCCGGGATTGGCTTGAGATGCTGCAGTCAGTCTGAACTTGCAAGGGAAGCAGGAGAGCACTGGCGTTCCAGTGTGACAGCCGCACCTGGCTGGACTCTACTTGCCTGGCTTTCTCCACCTTGGTGACAGGCCGCTGAGCCCCGCTAAGCATCAGTTTCCCTATGCATGAAATGAACTGAATATGACCCACCTAATGGAGTTATTCAGGGATTAAATGAGGCGTTATATGACTAGTTACACAATCCGACTCTGCGTGTTGGCCCACAGCACCATGGAACTGGTTATTGTTGTTCCTGGGCTAAACTGACCTTAGGAATCAAGTGACTACTTCTTGCAGCATGTACTCTCAGCTTCCTTTTGCTCAATGTGTGTGAAGAAGAGACGGTGTTAGAACAGAAGGACATCTGCAAACATTCACACCCTGCAGAGGGCTGAGCAGAGGCTAAGGGTTTGATGGCAGCTAATTGTTCCTGACAGATGTCAGCTTTGCCTGTCTTGTCTCTCTTAGCATGTTTGCAGCTGTGCAGCAAGCTGGCAGCCTCTGCCATTCTTTCTGCCTGGGTCCTCCCAAATGCACCCCAAATCCCAGCCATGCTGCTTGATCACCACAGGCCTGCCTGGTGACAACAGGCTGTGGTGATTTTATTTGTCACCTTTAGAGCTTGTGTAGCAGCATTTCTTTCCTAGAGGCTCCAGGTGTTTGTCCTGCAGACGTCTCTTCCAGGAGAAGAGGGAGTGGATGAGGGCAGGCTGTATTTCCTGGCTGTCCTGATCCTCTGGTCATTAGCATCCCCCAGAAGGACATGCAGCATAATGGCTGCAGACTCTATGTGGCACTGCCCCAGGCTCTGTGGCCTGGAGGGTCCCACATCAGTTGCAGCCTGGCCTGGGTTTGGCTTATTTTAAGCTGTCCCTGCAATGCAGCTGCAAATCCAGAAAAAGAGGAATGAGGAGTCTGCTCATCATGGAAGAGCTCACTAAGCACATGTTGTCACTGGCTTAAAGAGCAAGAGACAGTATAATTACAGTCATTCCAAGAGGTTCATGCTGCTGCATCGCCCCTTTCAGGAGCACCCCTCCCATTTCTTTGGTGCCAATACCATTTTTTAAAAACCCTCCTGGTAAATTTCGAAATGCCATTGGTAAAAGCAAACTGCCTCACTTAGCTCCTTAGTTATTTGTTTAGGATTTAATGTATCTCCTTAGAATTTTGGGGGAAGGGATTGAAGACTCTTACACTGCCCTTTGGGGAAAGGGAGTGTCCAAGAAGAAGGGAGAAGCTTTCACCTTCAACCCAGTGACCTCAACTGCATTCCACATGAAGCATGAGCTTTAGGACAACATGAGCACAGACTGAACCCTGAGAATGCAGTTTGCCCACTCATCTATTTATTTAGTGTCTGAATCAACAGGCTCTGGCCAGGAAAAGGAAGAGGGGAAGCTGCGAAACTCCTGTCCTTGGAAAGTTGTGTTTAGTGGACACCTATTGGTCCCGAATGGCAGGCAGAGTCCCGGGTTCACAAGGGTAAATTCTCTATCTCTGAAGTTCCTTCTATGTCATTTCCATCTGTCTAACTTTTCAGATTCCTCAGTATTTTTTCTGCTTCGTTCATGTATGTATTCATTCATCCATTGGATGAATATCCAATAAAAGGCACCTTTTATTGCTATCTTCAGTCGTTCTTCATTCATTTGAGATATCTTGAAGATGATTTTGGCTTCAGCTACTTGTGATTTGAGGGATTCTGACTTATCTTCTAGAGACTATCATTTTTGAAATATCTGCCATCAGTTGATTTTGTTCAGAATGTTTTGATTTCTGTTCTTTTAACTCTTTTTCCAGACCAAGTATTTCATCCTCAAGTTCATGGAAGATGGAGAACTTGGAATTAGCAATGGAAGATGAGAACTTGGAATTAGCAATGAACACCGAATCAGAAGAATGTGCTTACTTAGATCATCCTCCAAAAGGAGCTGTGAAGAAACGGATTCATGCTGCTAAGTTAAATGCATCTTTAAAATTCTTGGAAGGAGGAAGAAACCAAATTGATATTCAGTTATCTGAAGTTGAAAAAACAAAGGAAGAGCTTACACGGTGCATTAAAAATCTTCAGACTCAACAAGCATCTTTGCAGTCAGAAAACACACATTTAGAAAGTGAGAATCAGAAGCTTCAACAGAAACTTAAAATAATTACTCAATTCTATCAAAATGAAATGAGACTCTATAGGAAATTAACACTACAGGAAAATAGCCACTTAGAGAAAGAAGAGAAACTTTCTAAAGTAGACAGAAAGATTGTCCATGCCACCGAGAAGCTGGAGACCTATAGAAAGCGAGTCAAGTATCTCAAAGAAGAATTCAAGAGAACTATTCATTGCTATCAACGGTGGACTATGAGAAAAAAGCACATCGTAATTGGTTGGCAGCTCGGACTGCTGAAGGAAACCTCAATCATTTAGGGAAAGACAATGCTCACAGCAGGCAAAAATTAACTGAAATACAATTTAAACTGTTAGGAAAAGATCCTGATGCACTTTATGTTCCAAATACGGCATTTGGCAGAGAACATTCCACATATGGTCCCTCACCAATGGGTGGACCTTCATCTGAAACGAGAGCTTTTCTCTGTCCTCCAACTCTGTTGGAGGATCCACTCAGACTCTCACCTTTGCTTCCCGGGGGGAAAGGAAGAGGCTCAAGAGGCCCAGGGAATCCTCTGCATCATCAGATTACCAACAAAAGAGGAGAATCAACCTGTGGTAGGTTACCGGATCCTCACAGGGCTCCTTCTGACACTGGGTTCCTGTCACCTCCGTGGGAACAGGACTGTAGGACGATGTTTCCTCCACCAGGACACCAGGTCTACTGTGGTTGTAGACAAATGGGAAAGTAACTTTATGCTCAATTAAATAAATTGTAGGTAGGTCAAGAGTCTGTTGCCACTGAAAAGACAGTTTGTGACTCACAGATCCCAAGAGAAGGGAAAGTACCATGCCATGCAGGAGCACATGGCGAGGCACTGCGGTCACTGAGAAGGCAGGAGTGATGGGAAAACATGGGCAAGAGCCTTTATTGTGGTTTCCATGGGAAGGAATGAATGAGGCAAGGTGAACTGGGTTAAGGTTAGCTATTATAGTAATTTCAGCAGGCTCTGGGCGCATAGGGGCTGTCCCTAGTTGTCTGGTACCTGGCCCTGGGGTGATCAGGGCAGAGGAATAGGGGCCTAGACCACGTAAGTCCTGTGGAAGGCTGATGAAGTGGGTAGCTGGGGGCATCAGCTCTGGACTGGTTAGTTTGTATGTGAAAAGCACAGCCTGGCCAACATAGTGAAACCCTGTCGCTAGTAAAAATACAAAAATTGCACACCTCTAGTCCCAGCTACTCAGGAGGCTGAGGCAGGAGAATCGGTTGAGCCTGGGAGATGGAGGTTGCAGTGAGCCAAGATGGTGCCACTGTACTCCAGCCTGGGCAACAGAGTGAGACACCATCTCAAATAAGTAAGTACTGAAAATTCATCTTTTTAGGCCCTGGATGGGCTCCTCATGTGTCATTAGTTTCTGTATCCATAAAGGAATAACTTCTTGCTACAATAAAGTTTAACACTGATTCGCTTCCTTTTTTTTTTTTTTTTTAAAGCTGTAAGAGCTGAGAAATAAGTATATAGGAATCAAAGTTTTGTTACAAGTGTCCCTTCTATTTTTGCCTAGTTATATCTCAAGAATCTTACAGCTGCCGGGCGCGGTGGCTCAAGCCTGTAATCCCAGCACTTTGGGAGGCCGAGGCGGGTGGATCACGAGGTCGACAGTTCGAGACCATCCTGGTCGACATGGTGAAACCCCGTCTCTACTAAAAATACAAAAAATCAGCTGAGCATGGTGGCGTGTGCCTGTAATCCCAGCTACGCAGGAGGCTGAGGCAGGAGAATTGCCTGAACCCAGGAGGCGGAGGTTGCGGTGAGCCGAGATTGTGCCATTGCACTCCAGCCTGGATAACAAGAGTGAAACTCCATCTCAAAAAAAAAAAAAAAAAAAAAAAAAAGAATCTTACAGCAATCTATCACCAAAAATGGTTTATAATCATGAACTGATCATTCTGAAAGTTTATTAAAAGTAAAAGCCGATAAGCCATTTGATTTTCAAAACTATTTATTCTCCAGTACTCATCTAGTCTGTCAGTTACTGTACACAATTGCAAGTTGTTTTTGTTTGATGGTTTGGAAATGTTTATACCCTTGGGCAATGCTAAGATTGAAGATAAGAGGCATGGAATACAGTAAATATGGAAGCTGAGTATCTGGAAATATCCTTAAAATTATCCATGCCTGCTTTAACTTGGAAAATCTTCAAGAGAGTGGTAAGCTAATTTCAAAGAGCTAACCTAAATAATTTTGGGAGATGGTATTTGACTGGAAACCATGAGACTAGGAAAGATACATAAACTCTGTACCCTAGTTGGTAAATTTGTTTCTTCCACAGGTATGGGTTAATGATTTAGAAAGGGCTTTACAAATAGACTAGGATTGAACAGCTAAGTGGATGGTGGATGGTGCAAGCCAGTTTCCTCATTGTCAGAGACAGAAGTTATAAAAAACCATGAGAAGAAGGCTAGAATGAACCTTGTATATTGGGTCAGTTGGAGACATCAGTATGGACTCATGCTTAATTTAATATATGTACAGATGGAGAGATACAGAAATAACTGTAGAGATGTGTGGATAGTTATACAATTATACAGTGTACACAGGTTAGTATACACACATATACTTCCTAGCTGTCTGCTGAGAGGGCCTAGGAGCAGTGACACCCCAGGAACAACAGGCACACCCAGCCCCCAGATCTTGGTTTATAAACCAGTGGGAACCAAGGCTCCTTGTTGAAATGGATGATACTGGGGCTGAGACAGAGAAGGTAAAGATGAGTCTGGACCATCTTCTTATAGTGCCAGAAAGGAAGGAAGTATTCCAAAAGGATAGGGCCACATCAAAGGGACATGGGAGCTGACCTGAAACAATTCCCAATGGCCAGAGCTAGAACAATTTAAGCAAGAAAACGAAAGACTTATTATTGGATATATTCCCACCCCCAACCGCACCCCCAAAGGTAAAGATTAATTCCTCTCCACTTGAGTACGCACGGGACTGTGTGACCTGCTTATAGTGAACATAGCATGAATATGGAAAATTACGAAGTTTATAGTGGAGAGCCTGGCAGACACTGCCTTACTCTAGTGATCAGGGTGAACAACACCGGGAATAAGTCATGCTGATGACTTATTCATCACTTCACCACTTCACCTTAGTGGTTTTCCCCCAAATCCATAACCTTAGTCCAATTGTAAGACAAACCGAAATTAAGCAACAGTCTACAAAATACCTAAGCAGTACTCAAAAACGTCAAGGTCCCGAAAAACAAGAAAAAGTTTACAGACTGCTGGAGACCACCAGAGATGAAAGATGAAAGACGTCTAAATGTAAATACAGCAAATGGGTGAGGTTGGGTTCTATACCACAGGTTTTGCATGTTAAGATTTAAAAATTGTCAATTTTTTTTTTTTTTTTTTGAGAAGGAGTCTCACTCTGTCATCAGGCTGAAGTGCAGTGGCATGATCTTGACTCACTGCAACCTCCACCTCCCAGGTTCAAGAAATTCTCCTGCTTCAGCCTCCCAAATAGCTGGGACTACAGGCACACACCATCACACTAAGCTAAGTTTTGTATTTTTAGTAGAGATGGGGTTTCACCATGTTGGCCAGGATGGTCTCGATCTCCTGAATTCCTGGATCCACCCACCTCAGCCTTCCAAAGTGCTGAGATTACAGGCATGAGCCACCACGCCCAGCCAAAAATTGTTAAATCTTTAAAAGATGTATATATTCCTGGCCAGGCACAGGGGCTCACAACTGTAATCCCACCACTTGAGGATGCCAAGTCAGGTGGATTACGAGGTCAGGAGTTCACGACCAGCCTGGCCAATACGGTGAAACCCTGTCTTTACTAAAAACACAAAAATTAGCTGGGCGTGGTGGCAGGCACCTGTAATCCCAGCTACTTGGGAGGCTGAGGCAGAGAATCCCTTGAACCTGGGAGGCGGAAGTTTCAGTGAGCTGAGATTGCGCCACTGTACTTCAGCCTGGGCGACAGAGCGAGACTCCACCTCAAAAAAAAAAAAAAAAAAAAAAAAAAGAGAGAGAGAGAGATGTATATATTCCAGATTTCAGCAAGTGCTTGTTAATGACCCTAAATGTATTTTCCCCTGCTCTTCACCTCTTCACTTTAGCACTGTTCCCCGTATCTACCTGGCTCATGTCCCTGTGAGAGGTGCTAAGTGAAGCCTGTTTCTTCTTTAGAGAAATATTCTCATCTCACTAAAGTGAACACTATTAGATGACATTAACACACGACAGGACCCAGCACATGTGTGCCATGCGTCCCCTGTTCGCCCCCTATTCGTTCCACATCACTCTCTAGTTTCTGACATTTACCATTTCCACTCCTCACCTCTGGCCTCTTCTTTCATCATCTACAGGACTGCCATCTTCTGACAAGATCTGCAGACCACCCCACGCTTCCCAGGGCTGACCCTCCAACTCAGATGCTTTCGTGCATCCTAGGAGGGACTGAATACTTAAGGACAGCTGGTCGCTGGTGAAGATCATTGGAATGATTTTCAAACTACTCAGAATCAGGTCACATTGAAAAATTGCACACATTACTGTATCATAATTAAATATATTCTCAAACCTTTAGGAAATTTAAAAAGAGTCACATAATAATAAACACAAATCATAATGTGAATAATAATATATGAGCTGCTATAACGATCTGTGGTCAGCATCCCTCTGAGGTAGGCATTATCATCCTCATTTTATGGTTAAGGAAATTGGGGCTCAAAGAAGTCAAGTGATTTCTCACAATCACCCCTCTAGTGGGTAGAGGCAGGCTAGCATCCCATTTCTGTTCTACAGGACTGCAAAGCCTGATGCTCACACTCATTCCACTATACCTTCTCCCTTGAGTTCAAAACTTACAGGGTTTTAGACTTTTCAAACTCACGAACAATTTTAAGTATTAAGAGTTTCCTCCACTTCATTCTGTTTCCAAAAGAAAATATACATCGTGTTAACTAATTATCATCCCGACATGAACTCCTCATTGAAGCCTCTCCTCAGTGTGACTCAGGATTGCACTGGCCTTGCCATCCAGCTCGCTTCTTCAATTCTGACACCCAGTCGGGGTTGTCATCTTCTTCCTCAAAGTCCCTGTGAAAAAACAGGTTGGACCATAAACCTCTACAATAGGGCCACAGTATCTGTTGATGAATTGAAAGCAGAACACCACCATCACAATATTTAAGCTTCTGAAAAACTAGTTCCATAAAGCAACTAAAGGGAAGAAATTGTTACTTCTTCCAAAAGATCACTTCTTTTACTGTTTCTAAAACTTTCAAAAATGTAAAACCTAATATATTAAGAAATTACAAGTCCAAGCTGAAAGGTTATAGGCATAAGGCTCAATCAGGAATTTTATAATCATAATGTAAGGATCGTAGCCCATCCCAGACAAAAGATCAGGATATAAATACCCATTTATAATGAAATAGGTCCCTACTAAACCTCAAATTATCATGGTCTAATTTAAATCTCTCTCTCTCTCTCTCTCTCTCTCTCTCTCTCTCTCTCTCTCTCACACACACACACACACACACACACCCCTAAAGCTTTCTACGCATATCACAACATACGTGTCCTCCTCATCTAGCCCAGGCTCAAGTCGCTCTGGATCCAAAATGACAGAATCATGACTTCCATCAACACTGTCTGATGCTTCTGTTTCTTCACACAGGGGACCTTTCAAGAACCCTTCTGAACCTTCAGGAGATATGAACAGAAAATATA